TAAATGTCTAGCTATACTTTGATGCCTTTTTCAAACACCCTTAGCCATTATTAAGTAGGTTCTAGAAAATTCCCTCATCAGATGCATAGTCATTAATGAAATTAATCCTCTGTGGTTCACCCTTCTCTTACGTTGGCGACCAGGCATCCCCTCAGGTGAGCCTACACTGGCCCGGGGCCAGCTGCCCGCCTGCCGTCTATCTTCCTCAGCAGCCAGTGTCTGTATAAACTCTTTTTTTTTTTTTTTTTTTTAATTTTTTTGTGAGGAAGATCAGCCCTGAGCTAACATCCATGCTAATCCTCCTCTTTTTGCTGAGGAAGACCAGCTCTGAGCCAACATCTATTGCCAATCCTCCTCCTTTTTTTTCCCCCCAAAGCCCCAGTAGATAGCTGTATGTCATAGTTGCACATCCTTCTAGTTGCTGTATGTGGGACGCGGCCTCAGCATGGCCAGAGAAGCGGTGCGTCAGTGCACGCCCGGGATCCAAACCCGGGCTGCCAGCAGCGGAGCGCGCACACCCAACCACCAAGGCACGGGGCCGGCCCCTGTATAAACTCTTAACAAGAAAGTATTTTCAATTCACCATGGGAGAGACCTGGATTCACTTTCTATTTTCAGCTCTTACCTCCTCAAGCACGTTAGGATCTGAGAAGAACACCAGTAAAATTAAACTGCTGTAGAAGTTGCTGATTCAAGTAAAATCTATAATCTAATTTTTGAAATCAGAATAATTTTTCTCTGTTGCTTTGCCGTACTAAGAGTTCCACCTCTTCTGATAAGTGCCTTAGCATCTTTTATGAACAGAAATTTTAATTCACTTTTCTTTAGCAACTAAGATTTTATAGCTTGTTCTGCCAGGGAGTTGGGAGTTAATGAAACTTCTATCTATACCTGAAGCTGTTTACTAAACAAGTAGGCATATCTTTCAGAACATAGCATCAACTTTTTAAAAAGATATTTAAACAGAAAGCTCATTTTAAAACATATAAATCTCCCGCAGGGTTATTTTACTTTTTAAATGAGACGAGGAGGGGGATATCATTCCGTTCTCAAGAGAACCTTTTTTCTGTCTGTTCACAAGGGTTGGAATAGTGTGGGAGAAATACCTGGGGCTTTGCACTCCATTTGACCTGGGTTTGAATCTTGATTCCACCATGACTGTTACTTGTGGCTCTGAGCCTCCACTTCCCCATCTGTAAAATGGGAGTTATAAGCTATGATTATCTGTGAGCAAAGAGGCCCGTTATAGTTAACTAGGGTAGAAATGATGGCAGCAGCTCAATTATAAGATGTTTGTATACTCTACTCTTTCTAGCCCATAATTTGGAAAGATTAATAACTAACTAATAGGTAATAACGAGTCTAATGGGAGACCAACAAAAGACTAGTGGCAGTTGTGGAGTGTCGGGGGAAGAGCTGGAGCCTTAGGATTATTAGATGACTTTTAATCATTAGCTAAGTAACCCTGGGAAAGTTATTTCATTTCTCTGAGTTTAATTTCCTCTTTTGTAGAGTGGAGACATTATCGACCTTTTTATATCTCAGAACTATTGTGAGTATCAGATTAAATAACGAAGTGTCTTTGGTAAACCGGAAAGGGTGAATGAGCTGCAAGAGGCCTTGGGGGATGAGTACTTCTGGGAGGACCCTGAAAGCACCAAGGGGAGGAGCTGTCAGCCCTGTCCCTGGGTTCCACCAGGTCCAAGCCCCTGTGCTTATAAGATGCGTCTCTGGATGCATCTAAGATGAAGTAGGATAGCAAGCAGTGTTTATGCAGAGTGTTTATGCAAAGCAGGAGATGAGTATCTCCTTTTTCTGGGGGAACTGTTCTCATAAGTTTCTTTAAAGGTATGAGTTATGCCTAGTTAGGAAATTTCACTTTTATATGCAACTGGAGAAAGGTGACAGGTGAGATAGGAATTTTTATTGGAAACAATGAAAGGACTAACAGAATAAGAAAAGAAAGAGCCCAAGAAGTGTTGGGAAGGAGTTTTGAGTTTGGAGCAGGATTTCCACTTATCGTTTTTTTTTTTTTTTTTATAATTTTATTTGTTTTTTTTCCCCCAAAGCCCCAGTACATAGTTGTATGTCATAGCTGCACATCCTTCTAGTTGCTGCATGTGGGACGACGCCCCAGCATGGCCAGAGAAGCAGTGCGTCGGCGCACGCCCGGGATCCGAACCCGGGCCACCAGCAGCAGAGCGCGCGCACTTAACCGCCAAGCCACGGGGCCGGCCCCACCACTTATCGTTTTTAAACCTAATAATGCAAGGGTTAGCGTTAGGGGAGGAATAATCAGCCATTGTTCTACAATGGAAAACATCCAAGCACTGACTTTCAGAGAGTCTGGGGTTCCTCTGGCCCAGCCTTGTGTCTTGTTCTGAAGGAGGAATCGCTATGTTTTCCGTGTGTGCAAAAGGTCAGGCATCTAAATGGATATCTCTTCTTTAAAAAACTTCCGTGGTGATAAATGTGTGCGTGGGGTCTGGGAATTCCTTTGAAATACTCATTTCTCGTGTGTCTCCATGGCCCAGAGAAGAATACTGGCCACATTTGGGTATGAAAGTGCATCAGCCTTGCCGTCTTCTCTCGCCCCTTGAGAGTCGTGTTCTGTTTGAAAAGAGCTGAAAAAATGAAGGCTGTATTTTCGCTTGGGATAAGACTATTTTTCTCAAAGCAGCCAGGGCTCTGTGAGAGTAACAGGATCCATATGTTGAAGCTGGCTGCTAATGCTCAGCATATGGGCTAGTGAACTTTTCAGGCAGAAATATGCCTCTAATTCTCTAAAAATGCCCCAGTAAACTCCAGAAAGGACCATGACTTAGGTGACGGATGGCATAGGCACAGCTTCTGGGCTTCATAGGCCCATTGTTTGTGGACTGTGAGCCACAGAAAGGGATAGAAAAGATCCTGGTTGGCCTTAGGATGGATAGCACTGGTCTGTAGCCCTCTGTGTCAGGCCTCGTGCTCCCCAAAATTCTATGGGCCCTTGTCAGCTGTGGGCTTGCTCCACCCTGTTAGGGGATGGTGAATCTGAGGCTTGTCCCTCAGGTTGGCCAGACTGTCTGTTAGACTGACTGGTAAGATTTTGTCCTCTACTCGCAGAGGCAGCAATGCAAAACGCAAAGAACACTTGCCTGGGAGCCGGGTGGCTTGGGCTCTGGGGCCATGCTCGCACTAACTAGAAGTGATCTTAGGGAAGTCACTTTACTTTTCTTTTCTCATCCGGAAAATGAGGAGACGGGACATGGTGATGGCTGAGACCCCTTCCACTTCCTCAGCTTAGGATTGATTGAGTGGCACCTAACTCTAGCTGGAGAAGAGTAAGGGGAGAAGCAGCCAAGGCTAGTCACACTCGCACTGTGGATGCCATGGCCCGAGCCCCGGCATTGTATTCCACTGCGGCTTTGGTGCTACAGGCGAAAATCAGGAAAGGCAGGGGAAGACCTTTCATTGCCCTCAGGAAGAATTCCGTCCTGGGCCCCAAATGAGTAATTAGCAGCCATCCGTGTGAGGGAGAGACGGGCTGCCCCTGGATTACTATATTTCTTGCAAACCAGTGTTTGGAAGTCTCTGGGTTCCCGCCTCTTATTCTTACAGTGGAATGCTCAGCGTCCTCTCCCGGCCTCTCCCCCATGCCTGATTCCTCACCCTAACCCTCGCTCTTTCCCTTTTCACTTCCTGTCTCCATCAAGCCTTCCCTTTCTCCTGCAGCCTCTGCTGGGTTTTTCCATGGTCTGCTATGTCTGTTGGTAGGATGGTTAGGAAGGCTGAGCCACCAGTAGCTAGATTGCCCCCACGCTTCCCCTTCCCAGCCCCAAGCAAGCCCTTTGATCCCTCTGTTCCACTGAGCACGACTGTGGTCCCTTCATCAAATGAGCACCGACTGAGACCTGCAGCAGCTCTGCCTGCAAGTCAGTCACCATGGCAACCAGCATTCCCTCTGTTCTGCTGTGAAGAGAAAATGGCTGTTGTAAGGAAGGGCTCTGGGTGTCTATTACCCGGCCTGTTTTGTGCAGGCCCCTCCTTCATATCGGCTTTGAGAAGCTACCTGCATTGAACCAAATGTCCGTTAGCCTTTAGCTTTCAGATTTACTTTCCCTTAGAGGAGGAGAGGCAGAAGAAAGTTGAATCCAAATGAATAAAAGCGTTTTTTTTCCTACCCTAAAACCGTATTTTCATGAGGAACAGTTATCTGCTCCAAGCAGATGAACAAGGAACTGTATGAATACAGGAATCTGTGAGATCCAGTGCAATGTATTTTTTTCTTATCGCTGGAATGGAATAACAGAGCATGTGGATATTCAAAATAACATTCCATACACATAGCCAGGGGATATAGGGAATTCCGCAGGGCACAGACTACAGCATTTCAGAAGAGTCTGACTAATTGGGATGATGATGTTTGATGCTCTCTCCCGTTACAGAAAGAGGTGTGTTGGTCCTATAGTCGTGAGATGAGGCGAGCATTTGGCATCCTCTGCTTCAAAACCAGTTTGGATCTTCACGTTGAATCCTTCTCAATAGTTATTAAGCATAGTGGCGTGGGGAATTGGCAGGAGACCCCTGTGCAGAGTTCTGGAGTGGCAGGCTTCTCTCTTAACACAGCCGCAGGGACACTTCAGGTTGATATCCAAATGTAACTGGCTGGGCCACTATTTCTGTGAATCCCAGAAGTGGGACTGTTTTGAGCAGGACCATAAGCCTTCTCAAGGGGTCAGAAACATTTAGGGCAGAGGTCACCCCAAATCTCCCAGAGGATCTCGCACTGTCTGATAGGGGATAGCGGTTCCACAGGGAATGGTCTGGACCTTGTCCACTCTGGCTTTGGCCTGAGGAACCATGGATACTGTGGTGGTGACACGTTCTCAAAACCCAAACAACCTCCTCCCTTCACTGTTTCTTAAAGTGAGAGAGGAGACCCCGTTTTTGAATGAAAGCTCTGGGTTTCGTTCTCAAAACTTGGAATGTGTGTTTACACTGGGCATTTTCTTTTTCAGTTTCTCTGCAGGTGGATATTGTTCCCAGCCAAGGGGAGATCAGCGTTGGAGAGTCCAAATTCTTCTTATGCCAAGGCAAGTGACCTGTGTCCCACTGCGTTTCAGGAAACCCACCCAGCAGAGCAGAAGCCAGTGGGCTATGTGTGCCGGGCTGATAGCACTGTGCCTGGAATTCTTGTTGTTGCTCTGCCTCAGGGTCCTGAGAGCCAGGGAAGCTCCCAGGCCCTCTTCCTTCTCCTCTCACATGCTGCCACAACCCAGTGAAATGTGCCGTCTGGATTTCTGCTTGGTGATGGAGGAGGTCTAGGGACTTTCTTAGGCAAGTCAGAACAACTCCCAGAAGAGTGAATCACCCCCAGATTCCCTGCTTGGTGTACATCCAGAGTTCTGTAAATGATGATGGAGAACAGTGCTGGTTCAGAAATAATACTTCAGTGTTATTTCTGAACAATACTTCAATAATACTTCATGTAAGGCTTATTTCTTAGAATCCCCCAGAGCAGGAAAGTCCAAGAAGGTCTAAAACTTGCCTGCAAGAAAATTGAGTGCTGGTATCTCTTTTGCTGCTGTCCCGGGTTTGCCGGCTCTATCACGAACACCAATATTCTGTCTCATTGCCCCCCGCCCCCCACCCAGAGCTCTGGGATTTGTCAGACCTGGTGTCCTTGTTTTTGGTTTAGAAAATATGCCCCATTTCCACAGCTCAGGTCATTATCAGGAAATGTCCTGTGGGGGAAAGGCTTCAGATTAGACTTTGGATTCCCTGTCTGTGACGTGACTGAGATTTGGAACATGGAACAACCAGGAAAGAGCTGAGCTAGGTATAAACTGTGACATTTAGCAAGCCACTTTCGGCAGGGAGGGGCCTTTAAACGCTATTATGATTTGCGTTGGATGAGGTGGCTCGTGGCCGCCGGATGTGTTCCCTCCAGCTCTGCCTTCGTTACAGCAATGTAAATGATCTGGAGGTGCAGCCGTGGAGCCCACATCGCATCTTGCAAATAGCGATATTTATTGAAAACATGATGGGCCCTGAAAGGAAGACTGCTTCATTTCCATACTAAGCATCTGTGCAGGGCTGGGTGGTGTGGGCCAGGGAAGGGCACCGTGCAGAGAGGCAGGACGAAGCCACGTCCACCGGATCCGGGAGCCCTGCAGCCTGTTCCAGCTCAGTGTCTGGGACAGCTAAGCAGAAGCATCTGCTCCTCCGAGGTGCCTGGGGAGAGGACGTGTCTCCTTTACAGCATTTATAAGGAGATGAATTTGTCTGTCTGAGGCAGAGGGTGCTGAAATGACAGTCATGCCAGTGTGTGCAGACAGATGCTAGAATGAAAGTGGGTGGAATCCGTGCTCCTAGACTAGCTGGTGTCTCCTGCTCAGGAAACCATAATCTAAGCCCTCGAAAACAAGCTGGTGGGTTGGCTCAGACCAGTGAAGCCCTTGAGCTCAGATCCTAGATACACTAACTCTTTGTCCCCCATTCTGTGAAGCTGTAAGCTCCTCACTTGGTGCCTGGCACACAGTGGGTCCTCAACAAATATCTCTTCTCTTCCCTCACAAGGATAGAACCACTATGAGAAATACCCAGACAAGTGGTCCTTGAGTTCTCTCCCAATACTGTAAGTGGTGTTATGTCTATAACAGTTAAACACAGAAGCCACAATAGGGCTGCCTAATGTTCTAACGTAAATGGTCATGCCTCTCTGATCATCAAGTCTGATGATCCCTTGTTCAGTAGCTTACTGTGTACTCACTGTCGCCCTGGAAGGAACTTGGTCTTTTCAATTTCAGTGGTTTGAAAATAATCTCTTCTTCTTTAGTGGCGGGAGATGCCAAAGATAAAGACATCTCCTGGTTCTCCCCCAACGGAGAAAAGCTCACCCCGAACCAGCAGCGGATCTCAGTGGTGTGGAATGATGACTCTTCTTCCACCCTCACCATCTACAACGCCAACATTGATGACGCCGGCATTTACAAGTGTGTGGTCACTGGCGAGGATGGCAGTGAGTCCGAGGCCACGGTCAACGTGAAGATCTTCCGTAAGAGCCTCCTCCTTTTCCGTTTATATTCCCTGCCCTTTCCTTTGGCCAAGAAGACACAGGGGGTAGCAGACAGAGTGGCATGGCTGTAGAGGACTGGCTGAGGGCTTGACAGGGTCCCTTCCCTCCTTTCCTCTCCCTAAGTCTTTTCTGAATTGAGCTGAGAGCTCCAGTTTGTTCTTAAGTGATCCTTGGCCAACTCAGAACTCACAGCTCCGATTCATGCTGGTCACAGCTACCTCCCCACTGGCCTCCATTCTCTAAATTCAAATTACACAGTTCCCAGAGGGCTGTTAGGGTTCCCCTGTCCCTTCCCCGAGTGTTGACTAACTGTGACACAATTCAGCTTTCCCCTTCTTATTTCACTCTCCCTTGCTGGTAATGGAGCCCAAAGGCTCGGTAGGGTGGGGGATTATTATCTGAACACTCCATGCCCCTCAGGGCAGGCAGTTCCCATCGCCACTGAAACCCAGTCTGGAGGTGGCATCTGATTACCTTGTTATCATGCGTCTGTCCCGTTGGCCAGCATAATGATGGGTGACAGCTAATGGAACAGTATTGATTGCCGCAGTATTTATTGCCATGAAGCCTGCTTTTCTTCTGTTCTGTTCTTGAAAATTCTCTCTGCTAGAGGATAGTTGGGCTTGGGGTGCCAGACAGAGTGGGAGACAGAGAAAGGACTTATGAGTCCTACTATTCATTGTAGATGTTCTACCAATTCATTCCACCTGTGCATTGTGTATCATTGGCACCATCCCACACAGCAAGGGACCCTTGGTAAAGACACTCCTTTCCCTTCACAGACCCTTTTCTGCACCAAGTATGATAAATTTAGCACTCGGTGAATAGACATTGATTGCCAAACATTAACAACATATTTTCCTACTGGTGCCAGCTGCTCCGCCTGGCATCTTTGGCCAAGTACTGGGTGGGACCCCCTCTTGTACCACTCTATATATGGATTGAATTGCCCACAACTCAAATCCAGGCAGCATGGCTCCAGTAAAAAGGATCTTTGTAGGAGAACCAGCTGTTTTCCCTCATTCTTCTCTTGCTCATTTTCCAGAGAAGCTCATGTTCAAGAATGCACCAACCCCACAGGAGTTCAGGGAGGGGGAAGATGCTGTGATCGTGTGTGATGTGGTCAGCTCCCTCCCCCCAACCATCATCTGGAAACACAAAGGCCGAGATGTCATCCTGAAAAAAGATGGTGAGACCTAAATTCCCTGGCATCTGTCTTTTCCCCTGAGCTATGGAGTCCCCTAGGGTTTCCACCTCTGCCAGCCTCTGAAGCATTCCAACCCAAATACAGATTCCAGTGTCCCAGAACCATGCAGTTCCCAGGTCCTGAATGGGTGTATGTCTATGACTTGTATATTCAGTGACATGACTTTCTCTCGAAAGAAAAAGACAGATTTCCAATAGACTTTTGCCATTGGCTCTGTGTCAGAGCCAGGGACACATTTTCTTATTTCAGCTTAAAGCCCCACCCCGTAAGACTGAAGCTAGGAAAAAGGAAAGGCTCAGCCACCTGCCTGCAGATACCAGCATTCTCTGACTGATCCTTGGATGAACTGCCTCTTGTCTCTTCTAGTCCGATTCATAGTCCTGTCCAACAACTACCTGCAGATCCGGGGCATCAAGAAAACAGATGAGGGCACTTACCGCTGTGAGGGCAGGATCCTGGCACGAGGGGAGATCAACTTCAAGGACATTCAGGTCATTGTGAATGGTGAGGAGATTCGTTCTTCCTGCTCTCTCCATTGCTGCAACCTTGGTTCCCCCTAACCATTCTCTGTAACTTCCTCTTCGGTCTATAAAATAAATCCTGTCCTGACTCATCCGTGTCAGCTGAATCCCCGCTACCCTCTGTAGCCTCTGGCTTTTTTTTTTTTCAAATATACTTGCCTTTTGGGTGTCCTTCAACTCTGGGGACTTTTAGTGCAGTTCTTCAATGTCCTTCATTGTCTTACAGTACTAGGAACTGTCCCCATGCTGACCAATAAATTCCTATTCATCCTTTATTGTCCTTGATGTTACCGTAATTGTGAGGTTAGTCCCCTGGTTCAATGTTCAAAGAAAATATTATAATCAATTCAGGCCTCAGAATAGTCAGAATCGTGGTCCATAGGCTTATTAATCTTAATTTGCAGTGTCAAATAAACACACTCGTGAAATCGATCTGACATTTACAAGCTGTTTACAGGAAATTATAATGTCAGTACTAAGAAAATAAGTAAATCATGTTGAATTGTTTGACTATTGATATATATTTTTTGCCAAACTCTCCCCCTCTCATTCCTTTGGTAAAAACAGTTTGTGCACAAGGTTGTTTATGACAGTTCTAGAGAAATGTCACTCTTTGGTGAGCTGGTGCATTTCAAATTGGTATTAACCATTTAATCACCGGGAGCAGGAGATTTCAACTTTTTCCAGTATCAAGAGCCCCCCTTTGAACGTCAAGTTATACCAAACGTGGTAGTTGTAAGTTTAGTATGCATTGGTTGAGAAAATATACAATGATAAATAGCTACTATAAATTGAATACCATTTTAAAATGAGTAAAATATAATAATATAGCTTCTAAAGCTTTGTTATTGAAAAAAAAAATTATTATATATTGTTATACATGTAACAATATTATGTATGGTTAAAAAACACTAATGCATGTTTGTGTGTGAATTATTTATTCAGTTTACAGTAATTATTTAGTACACATCTGAATTTAGATCCCTTACACTAACTCTGCAGCTGCTCAGGACTCTTGACCCCCAGGCTGTGACCCTCTGACCTGGGGTCCCCTGGAAATGCTTCCTCTCGAGGCCACTGGGTTCTTTCAAGTTTTCACAACCTCCCCTGACAGTCCTTCTTTCCTTCAGTGCCGCCCACCGTCCAGGCCAGGCAGAGCATAGTGAATGCCACCGCCAACCTCGGCCAGTCTGTTACCCTGGTGTGCGATGCCGAAGGCTTCCCAGAGCCCACCATGAGCTGGACAAAGTAAGAAACTGGCTCGTGCCTTTTATCATGGATAGCGGAGCAGGGGACTTCGTAGGGCCTGCTCCATGTTGGCATTTCAATGGAAAGGGTATGGATGGCTTGGGAATATCAACTCCGGTGCACAATGGATTCTTTTCTGAGGTTCTCTTGCCTTTTGCATTGAATTCCTTCATTTTCAGTTTGTGGGGCAGAACCAGAAGGCGTGGTGTTGGAGGCCCTCTTTGGAATTTTTGTGGGTGCAGTTTACAGCCCTTGGACAGAATCAGAGGTTTGGGTGGAGGGATCAAAGGTATTCTGTTGCGGAAGTACAACTTGGCTCTTGACTTTGTGAAGACTGAGGCTTTCCCATGGGCTCAGTCTGTATTTCATGGAATGAGTTAAAAATAAACGTCTTACCTCTGTGGTCAAAATCATGGCGCTTTGCATTTCTGCACCCTGCAGGGATGGAGAACAGATAGAGAATGAGGAAGACGAGAAGTACCTCTTCAGTGACGACAGTTCAGAGCTGACCATCAGGAGGGTGGATAAGAATGATGAGGCGGAGTACGTGTGCATTGCCGAGAACAAGGCTGGAGAGCAGGATGCATCCATCCACCTCAAAGTCTTTGGTGAGGACAGTGGGGGTCAAGGTCACTGTTCTGCCACAGTTCCTCTTGCCCTACACACTCAATCCATAAGCAAGACCCTGTCCACTGTGCTTTAGAATCTATCCCAAACGCAACCACTTCTTGCCATCTTCACCACCTAAGCCTAGTCCAAGCCATCCTCCTCCTCACCTGCTCAATGAGACAGCCTCCTAGCCGGTCTCTCTGCCCTACCTTTGGTCCCCTTGAGCCCCTCTTGCTCACAGTAGCCAGAATGACCTTAAGCACCACTCCTCCATTTAAAATCCTCCCATGGCTTCCTATTGCAACCAAAATGAAATCCAGACTCCCTACTGTGGCCTGCAAGACCAAATCTGAGCTAGCACCTGCCTTCCTTTCCAACCTCATCTTTCTGCTACTTTGCTCCACATTCAAAGCTCTCCAACCCCTCAGGCCTTCCTTCTGTCCCTCACACATACCAACCTTGTTCCCTATCTCAGGGACATCATACTTACTGTTTCTTCTGCTTGGAATATTATTCCCCCAGATCCGCTCCAAGCTGCCTTCTCATCCATCATTCAGATCTCAACTCAACTCAACTTACCTTCTCAAGGAGTCCTTTCTTCACTGCCCAGGCTGATGCAGCTCCCTTACCACCACTACCACCCCATCCACCTCCACTAACCTCTTCCATTAACCTTACTGCATCTTCTTCATTGCACTCGTCAGTACCTGAATTGATCTCCTTTACATATTGGTTTTGGGGGTTGTTTGCCTCCCATCTCCGCTGAGTATAAAAACTCCAAGATGGCAGAGCGCTGGCCGAATGATACATTGCTTTGTCTCTGGCTCTTTAAACAGCACCAGGCTCATAACAGGCCCTTGGTAAATATTGGTGACCCGCTGGCTGGCTGCCTCTGTCTCCCTTTGCTTCTTTCCCTGGGCTGTGTGAAACAGTGTCATAAAAGTCATGAAAAGAGCCCCCACATCTCTACTAACTTCATCTTTGTAAACTCAATTAACTTCCATTCATTTAGAACTGAAATGCATTTTGACCTGACCTTGAAAAAAAAAATTTAACCTAGTGGATTTCAACCGTCTCTGCTCATCTTTTTACAAAACACACATAAGCTGGTCCACTGTAGACAGTGCTGTAGAGGACAGATGCCACAGGGGCAGCTCTGTGCATGCGGCTCCCAGGTTGTTACAGTGTGCCTGGGGAACCTGCGTGGGCCCTGCTTGTTTAGCCTGATCAGGAGAACTGATCTATGTTTGTAAACATAGGCCTTTGAAAATCAAGCTTTTATATGCTTGATTTTCATCCAAGCATTTTATATGCTTGGATCTGCTAATCACAGATGGATCCTATGTATTCATTAATGACAATTGGATTTAGAAACAGGTTATCAGTTTGGTTCAAATTAATTTTATATACTTGAGAGGGAAAGCTAACCTTGTTGGGAAATATTCTTGATGGTCTTTTCTATAATTCAGACTGGTCTTCCCCAATGACTCTGATTTTAAGTTTTTCCAAATTGTAGAGAAGGACAGATGCATTTGTTAATGTATTCCTTCATTTAACAAGTATTTCTTGAGCACCATTGTTGCTGGACAGAGGGGCTACAGAGATGAGTAAGAGATGGTCCTTTGACCTTGAGAAGCACAAAGAGGGCCATAAACATATAAGCATATAAATTATATGATAGTGTCAGTAAGCAACATTTGAGTGCCTGCTGTGGGCCCAGCCATTGCCAGGGTTACAAAGATGAATAACTTGCATTCTGTTCTCATCAGTGGGTTGGTTCACAGGCTAACATAGATCGCCAACACTGAAATGTTTAATGACAACCCATTATAATGGCTTCATAATAGCAATATGCACAGTGTTTTATAGGAAAAGAAGACCTCTGGTCCTGTGTCTCAAAAGTTAGATGTCTTCACAAACGATGTGATATTTCACAAGTGGGAGTTTCCCAGATGAAGACGAGTGGGCGAGCATTTCAGGCCACACATGCACAGGCACAGATGCAGGAAGAGCCCATGTGGTGCTAAATGTGAGCTCCTTGTGGTTGGGGACTTGTGTCTGTTCTACTCGCAGATGTCCCCCCAGCTCCAGCTCCTAGAACAGTGCCTGGTATATCGTAGGGGCTAATATTTGAATAAATGAAGGAATAGCAGTTAGTTTTACATGAATGAAGCATATGTATGTGGGAGGGAGATGAGCCTAGAAATGTGTAATCATCACTTGTCTTAGGAAATTTAGATATTAGCCCCATAAAGTAACAGTATTGATACCCAACCCAAAGTGAGTGCTTAAAATGTGCCAAGCACTGTGTGAAGTACTATCCATCAATGAGCTCTTTTAATCCTCAACACAACCCTGTGGGGTAGATTTCATTATTATCCTCATTTTACAAGTGAGGAAACTGAGCACAGAGTTAGGTGTCCTACCGAAGGAGCCAGGATTCAAATCCAGGCTGTTGGCTTTTAGGTCCTTTCCCTGAGCTAGCCATGGTAGTTAGTACTCCATGAAACCCAATTTAACACATCCTATATCTGAGTTACATATGGAGTGACTAGTAATACTACTGTAATTAGTGTACTCGACTTTTACCACCATGGATGGCTTGGTTTCTCTATGGAAGTTCTGACTTGGCTGGTCAAGAACTCTTGGCTTCTCTTCCAGGCCTCTCTGGAGGTGATGGCTGCCCCAGGAAGGCAGTGTAGGTAGTGAGTCAGGAGACGTGTGGGGCTGTGCTAGAGTGAAGAAAGTGGGTAAGGTCCAAGGGAGGAGGTAACAAGGCAGGGAAATTAGAACTGTGGTGAGGCTGGATTTGTCTTCCGACTCCTCACTCACCATGCATCCCCTGCTGCATCACACACACACACACATACACATACACACACACACTCCATTACCACAGTTTGTTTCCCAAGACTGCCACTGGGAGAATGTACGTTAGACAACCAGTAGAGAAAACAGGAGAGGTGGGCAGACTTCTACAGAGATGGTAAGAAAATCCTAGACTCATGGGGACTGTGTCTAATCCAGCCCCCATCCAGAGTGAGAATCCTCCTCCGTAATATCCCGAGGAGAGTTCACACTTGAAGTAATCTGGTACCCCATATACACTCTCCTTTCCCTCTCCATTTCACCTTCTTGACCTCCTTTCTCTCCTCCTCCTCCTGGCCTCCTCCATTGGTTTGGGAGATGGGTATGAGGGCCAGAGAACCAGAGGCAGGGATCTAGCTAGTTAGGTCTTCATCTTTCTTCCAGCCTTTCTGTCCCTCTCCTTCCTCTTCTGACTTGCCACTGGCACTAGGGTGAGAAATGGGGCAGGTTTCCCATAGCCGGGGGGTATGCAGCAGTGAGGTAGAGGAGGAAAGAAACCTGTAGCTTAGTGAAGAAGCTCTCAGAACTCCTGTGGCTTCAAGAAGGGGTGGCAAATAGTAAGTAAGGGACATATCTAAATTAAGGACTGCCGTAATTATACCTAACTGACATCATTTCCTCCTAAGATAGGGACACATTCTGGCATGCATTGCCCTAGTTATCAGCTAGAAGCTCTTTTTACTAAGTAGTTGCATCTTCTCTTCCTTTAAATTTGGCAGTGAATTTCCATTGCTCCTCTCCCCACAGGCCCTTCTAAAGAAGTATTTTTGTGTCCACAGATTCTTATTATGCTCTATAATGCTCTGAGATCTCATGCTGCTGTGGGCTGACACAAGTTCACCTGTGTGCAGAGGCTTTGCTTAGTTGACCTCTTTGGACCAAAGCAACCCTTGTGAGTTACAGCAGAGGACAAACAGGAGCCTGAGGAAAGGTGCACCTGGTCATGTCCAACCTCTCAGTTCAGGGAAGCAGGGCTCCAGAGCCCTCCTTGGGCTAGGGTTGCAGGAGCCTGGATTGGAGTGAGAGTAGACAAGGCTGGCCCTAAGTGGCAGGGTACAGCGCCGTGGACATGCCAAAGAGGAGAGCAGGTGTGCCTGGAAAACTCACTAGGATGGCTGTGCTCACAGGAGGATCTGTGGGGAGAGATGCAATGGAACAATCTGAGGCATTAAGTCCCATAGCAGCGGGTGGAGAATAGAACAGGGATCCGAAGTCAAGGGCCCACAACAAAGGTTAATTAAGATGGTGCAAGTACCATCTGTAGAAAAAAACCTGGAGAGCTTCCTCTAGATGCTGGTTTGCAGAGGGATGTGACCCTGCATCTGTCCCTGTTTGCCCAATGATGCCCATTGTCCCAGTGTAATTATTTAGAGCATCTCTTTTCACTCTCAAGAGTGCCCTGATTTGGACAATAAGTTATATCGCTATCCTATTTCCAAGGGCATACTCTAAGCCTTCAGTTAGTTCTGACAATAGCCTTGTTTCTGGAGTGCAGAGAGGTTAAGTCATCACTGAGAAGCCTGCCTTCCTTCCAACAGCCTTCTGCAGACCATACAAAATTAGCCATTGTTAATAATGTTTTTAATAAGAGTATAGTTTGCCTTTCTCTAAAGACTTGTATAGTGCACCCTTTGTCACCATCCTGGAAACGGAGCCACCAAGACCAAATATTAACAGACGTTAACTGTCCCTTGTCTGCCTTCTGTTAACCTCTTGCTGCCAGGACAAAGTGCTGTGGGTCAAGAGAAGGTCAGCACACGCTGTCTAGATCAGAACATCGGTCTAGATTTCAGGAGGCCAGAAATTCAGCCTCCCTATGACTGCCTCCAGACCCCAAACAGCTGTTCAGTTTAGTGAATTCAGTCGTTTGGCTGAATTGTTTTTTCTACTTTTCAATCTGTCATTTTAGCAGTATAGAAATTCAACTTTTATTTTACGTCTCTAAAACCTCTTGTTCAAGAGCACTTCCTCCATCCAATATGAGTTGTGACCTCCTCCTATTTATCAAGTTAGACACAAAGCCTTCCATTCAGAAAACCTCACTCATGCAGGCTCCATCAATTCAAATTTGTGATCATGTGGCCACAGTGGATTGAGGTGTGCCCACGTGCTAACCGCCAGAAAAGGATTTGCTAAGCAGTCTGTTAGTGCAGATTAACTTTGCGAGAATCTTGGAACTATTTGGGTGATTTTATATAGAAGCAGATATTTGTTATAGAAAATGCACAGCTCTATCATTGTTTTCTGTTTATTAAAGAATTGAGGGCCTCAACTTGGAGGATGTCTACAGTCAGTAGTTTATGAGCCTACTTGGTGTTACTATATGAATTTGAATGTAAAAGAAATGCAATTCTTTCAGAAATTATCCATAATTCTGATTTATTTATTTTTTGTTTGTTTATCTAGTCTAGCCTCTTTCTCTATTAGTGAAATAAGTTACATTCGTGCAGCGTTATCTTTTCTCTTCTGTGGAAGGTTTAGCAATTTCAGAGTATAATTGTTTTAAATTGGGAAAATTCAATTTTCTCTAATGTTTTAACATTTAACTCAGCTTTTGAATCCTCATGTTTTCTTGCATTACCTAAAACATTTGGAAAATGAACTCATCTCAACTCGTCCCTTCCCAGTCCCAGCCCATTCCACAGCCCCCCTCCCCCCGCCCCGAGTTACTTGCCACATTTCCTTACTTGAGTTAATGCTAACACAACTCTTCTAGTTATTGAGAATCTCAGAGTCATTTGGACTCCTCATTCCTTCTTTTGATTCTTGCCATCCCCACTTGCTGTCTGTTCACTTGCCACTTCCTATAAAACCTTCCTTTAGCATCTCTCTCTCGAAGCCCTTTCCTTTCTGTTCCCCACAAGCCGACCTCATCCAGGACTGTATTACATCATATCTGGGGCCCTGCCAGAGCTTCCAAATTGGTTTTCCCTCCTCAAGGTTTTCTCCTTGCTAAATCATCTTGAATTTTTCCTGGATTAACCTTCTTGAAATGCAAATGATCATTTCATTCCTCTGATCAAGCACTGTCAGTAGGCCTCCACCAGCCACGGGATACAATTGAAGCAAGTGCTGTAACCAGGTGATCAGGCCTGTGCCTGGGTCCAGCATTGTCTCCCTCTGCTTTGGTGCACAAACACACAGCTCATGCCACCCTGCTCTCTCCCCAGTTCTCTCCTCACATGTTCTTGCTTCTTTGCTTTTATTCGAGCAGCTTCTGCACTTGGAATGGCTCCATCTCCACCCCTAAAGTTCCACCTACTGAAAATCTAATGGCCCAGCCCAAAAGCTGTCTCCTTGTGAAGACTCCAATCAGAGGAGCACTCTTCCTCTGCTCCATGCCTCCTACACCCGTTGCCCTTAGCACCCTTCCCATAGGGGATGTTGTTTTATTACTATTGCTTCGGTGTTTTCACATGCCTGCTTCATTGTAAGCTCCTTGGGGGTTCAGCTGTTTATCTCATACAACACCTAGAATAGGCCTTATCCTTAGTAAGTAGATAACCTTTGTTAAATGTGTGCATGTTATAATTTAAACCCAGAAAGCTAAAAAATCGGATAAAGTCATAGAAATATTTTGTCTTTTCAGCAAAACCCAAAATCACATATGTAGAGAACCAGACTGCCATGGAACTGGAGGAACAAGTCACTCTTACTTGTGAAGCCTCAGGAGACCCCATTCCCTCCATCACCTGGAGAACTTCCACCCGAAACATCAGCAGCGAAGAAAAGGTATAATGTCGCCCAAGAGTTTCAGGGCCATGGAATGCAGACTCAAAGCGGATTGAGGCTGCACCATGCCCAGTTCTCTTCGGTGAGCCAGAAGATGGGATGTGGTCACCAGAGGCCACAGCTAGGTCCTGTGGCCTCCCTCCCCTAGCCTGCCTGGATGTGGCCTGGTCAGCATCCCCTTGCAGTGGAAGAGGCACAATTCCTTGCATAGATTTGCAGGGGTGTGATGTTAGCAGGCATGGTCAAGTTAGACGTTCTGGGGAGGAAGGGGATAGTGATTTTCAAACCCAGCGTTATGGAGCTGTGAGGAGCAAGGGGGAAGCCAAGACCCTGGTGCACCAGATGATATTAGCATCATCTCAGGAGCACCCAAGGAAATGTCTCCCAGAAATAATAGGGATCAGAATGAGCCTATTAGTTCTTTTCCTGTGTTTTGTATACTCATGCTATACATGCACTATATGCACAAAAGCTTGGTTGCCTTTGTGTCTGCCTGTATTCTCAGTCACATTTGGATATCATTTTGTTCTACAGGCAAGAATAATTAGCAGTTTCTACATAATGATGATTACACCGGGTTCTACGGTATAGTCACTGAGAGTTTAAGAACATTGTAGCAACATTCCTGGCAAATTAAAATGACTGGGAAGATTTAGCTTTAAAGCACATTGATTTATAGGCCACCGGAAAGCTATCTTTATTATTGACAATGTATAAAAATTGAGATGACCCCACATGATGTAGCCCTTTGCTCTTGACTGGGCCAAAAGCAGGAGGAGGAAGCAGCTTGGTTTTAAAGCAACTTAACCAGTTCTCTTATGGCGTTTCTCCAGTCTCCCCTCATATATCCTGTAGTAATGGGCCTCTTATCAGTTGGCCAAAGCTTTGTCACTTATTCAGGAGTAATGGCCTTAGCCTTAAAGAACATTTATAATGGATTGCTTATTGACCAGAACCTCAAAAATGATAGCTCTTTACTCTTCTGTCTGCCTAAAGCAAATCCCTAGAGAGGGTAGACACAAATGAAGCCAAAAGGGATAGTGCGAAATACCAGAGCCAAATTTGGGATTTGCATTTGAGGAACTGATTTCTGTCCCACGAATAGAAAACAAAATTAAATCAAAAGGAACAGAAATTGCTGTTCCAAAAAGCCCATTATTTTTCTCAAGTTTTACCTCCAGAGTTGAAGTCAACTTAACAAAAACCCAAGTGAGGAACTGCTAAGTATTTTTGAAACTTGCATATGCTTTTTGATATTGTGAAAACCAACTGGATTAAGAAATGTGGTGTTTACTTGGACACTGTATCAACATTGGAATTAAATCCTCAGCTCAGATTTCAGCTCCCATCATGTGTGTTATGTGGATTGAATGTACACTTCAGGGCTTAAACCACAGGGCTGCTGCCTGGAAGATTTTTCTACTTCAGACTTGAGAGTAGATTTGTCCAGAATGACCCAGTGTATATCTTTGACCTACAGTGAAGGACGGAAATAATATCTATCCCAGATGAATGATGCTTTTAAATTCTATATCTTTTCTAGTAATAGCTCAACAGCCGAGCTAGACCAGAAGGGTTATTAAGATTTGTGCCTGTCTCAGGTCCTTTAATAGGTTGGCACTTCTGGCTTGTATCTGTGAATTCATTTTTGCAGAATGAGAAAAAATAACCAGGCACTGATACACACCCATACTTAACTCAATATTGAGACTGAAGCTCTCCAGCAGAGACCATCTCAAGCCAAGTAGGACTGACTCGCTTTTTGTATAATTCAGTTATCAGTATAGATCATTTGTCTCAATCTGAGATAATTATGTAAGCCCAGCCACATAGGTTATATTGTGGTTTCTTTTACTATGGACTGCCTTCACGTTACTTGAAGTGACGTGACTGGAACATGAGTGAATCAATGTTAGAACAAGTCCTCCAAATCAGCTGGTGATGTGACACCAGATTAACACATTTGCCTAAATGAAACCCTATAGAAAAGTTGCCCTTTCCATGAAGTATATATTGATATCAAAGAGGCATGATGTCCATCTTATACTGTGGATAGCTAGTAACTAAGAAAACAAAGGTGGCCTATTTGTGAATGGGTTGGACTCCAGATAATAAATTTCTCTTTTATTTGGCAGCTGCTCTTCATGTTCTCCTCCATCTGAAGTTGCATTATATATAGTTAGGTATCAAGATTATTATCCACTGAGTTGTAGAAGTCGAAGAAAACAATTTTCTTTTTAAAATCAGGATGATACGCTAAGTAGATAAGAATAGACAATTGTATCCAACTGCTAAGGTAAAGAGGGCTCTTGAGAATTTGATCACATAAAATGCCAGCATCATAGAAGGCTGGAAGGAAGGCACCCTTTGAGGTTATCTAGTCTCACCTGGCACCCCTTTCAAGCATATCAACTAGAAAGTCACTCAGCCCCTGCTGGAAGGGTCATAGTGTCAGTCTGCAGGGCAGTTGGCCAACACTGATGGTCACAGAGGTCTGCTTCCTTGCCCCTTGCATTTCTCAGTCTTCCCACCTCTGCCACTCAGTCCTCTGTAGGAGAGCCGTTAAAGAATTCTGAATCCTATTCGATTTTCCTTTAGTCAGTCTACTCTTCTTACCTTTCACACACCCAGTGGTTTTCACTGTTTCTCCTGTGTCTTGGTTTCCACACCCTTTACCTAGTTGTCCTGTAGAGATAGCTGTGGTTCCCTAGTGCTCCCCTAAAATTTTGTGGTACCCAGTGAAACTAATGCAGACTTCTCTGGGGTTATTGCTCCCTTGATCTGGACACTGTAATGCGGTTAAGGTTACATTAGCCCTTCAGCAGCTTCCTCTGCTGTTGCCTCATATTGAGCTTGTGGTCACCTAAAGTGCTCAGGTCTTTTTTATTTGAACGGCAGTTAAGCCACGTATCCCCTATCCTGTTCTTATGCAATTAATTGCTTAACCAATCATGCAAAATTTTATATTTATTTCTGTTAAAAATTGGATTTTGTTTGTTGCAGCCCAGTGTTTCTCAGGGGGGTCACTCTGACAATTTGGGAAGACTCTTCCTTCACTGGAAGAGTCCTGTGCATTGCAAGATATTTAGCACCACCATACCCTTTCCCCTTAAATGCCAGTAGCCACCTCTAATCATTGTGGTTACCAAAATGCCGCATGTGCAAATACTCCCTGGCTTGAGAACAACCATCTTTCCGACCAGTCAAGACTGGCTTTCATCAGAACTGCCCTTAGAGGTCTGTGGGTCCAGGGCATTTCAACCCACATGGGCCCCCCTATTTTATTTATGTATATTAAAAGTAATGAAGTCTAGCAGTCAGTGGTGACCCCAGCCTAAGAACAAGGCCAAAGGACAGGCAATTTAGTAGTCTTCCCTATGCACCTGTCATCTAACATTTGTATTCGGTATTGCTTCCAAACTTATATGAACACTTATTTGAAATATTTTTGTCCAAGTCACTGGTAAAAATGTTGACTGGGACAAGGTCAAGTACAGAGCCCTTAGAATACCACCAGGGCTTCCCTCTGGCTCACTGGCTCAGAGGGCAGAGCACCTAATGCCAGGTGCCCTCTCATGATTTTGATGACTTGCCTGGAAGGCTCAATGATTGCTTTAATAACGTTAGTTACAATATGAGCTAATTAAAGCAGCCTCATCTTTTGCTTCACTGCTTAGTTGAGTCTAGTGTTATCCTTCTTAAGAAAAGAAGGGAGGGGCCGGCCCGGTGGCATAGTGGTTAAGTTCAGCTCGCTCCGCTTTGGCAGCACGGGGTTCGCGGGTTTGGATCCTCGGTGCAGACCTACACCACTCATCAAGCCATGCTGTGGCAGCATCCCACATACAAAATAGGGGAAGATGGGCACAGATGTTAGCGTAGGGCCAGTCTTCCTCAAGCAAAAAGAGAAAGATTGGTAGCAGGTGTTAGCTCAGGGCTGATCTTCCTCACCAAAAAGAAAAAAAGAAAGAAAAGAAGGGAGAAAAGGCTTTCAACAGTAGACACATAGTTAGTGACTTTCTAATCGAATATTGATGCTCTTCTTCATTGAAATAAAAAAGAAAAAAAAAAAAAAACAAGCAAAAACCAGTGCAGTGAGCCTGAATGTCACTCTCTATCTTTGATCAACTCTCTAGGTTTAGTCCAGTCACTCATTTGAGACTGATTTTTATCAATCTGTTAAGCTTCAGCTAGGTGAGTCAGTTTCTATCAACAACTAATAATAGCTAGGCTAAGTTCAGGTCATTGAGATCATTAGGGTAGATCATCTGTCTGAAAGTTAATCTATTTCTTAGCGGTCACTATCGTGTTGACAAAAAAAATACTTGAACATCATAATGGGTCAGTCGATCAATGTGTATGGAGGTCATAGCAGACAGTGCAAAGATGGTTTGTGCATCCACATCATTTCATTACTCATCTTACCCAGACTCATTTTAAATATTGCCAGGTATTTGAGTGAGTGCTTCTAAATTCCAGGTGCCATTTACATATAGAGTGAGACTCCTGGATGGTGATTTGCATGCTCTATCCCAGGCAGAACAAATCCATTGTATGCTTATTTGAACATCACTGTGCCTTTGAAACGAATGGTAAAGAAAGGCGTATGAAGCCTTAATGTCTAAGGAAAAGGGGAGAGGTGAAGAGTTGAGACCAGAAGAGAGAGAGAGAAAAAATGAAATGCATTTCGTGAACCTGGAATCTTGAGCTAACAAAGTATCCCACAAATAAGACAGACCTTTTGAAATTATGGATACTCTGGAAACTGGAGCTTTTTATCACCAGAAAGAATTCCTCATTCAATACAAACCAGGTGCCCACTTTTAAACATTGGAAAGGGTGCCTGCATTGAGCAATCAGAGTCTGGCTTAGCCAGCATGTGGGCAAATGTCTAACAAAGGATACTTCAGGGTAAGTATCGGGATGCTTCTCTTTACTTTATATACATATTCCTGCAGACTTGTGTGTAAGATAATAAAACATGGGAATATTAAAAGAACCTGGAACTAACAATCTTTGGAGCAGTACTAATTATATCCTAATTTATTTTATGCGTGTATATTTGCATACCAGTTTGTCTTAAAGTAGGCCACACACCTTCACCAAATTATCAGGGTCAAGGCACATCTTGTAGTTCCACCCGGCACAGGTAGGAGGTCAGGCTACTAGAAACATTGTGTCACTAACACTACTTATTCTAAAAGCTATAAAACCATAGTGATTTGGGAAAGACACAAGAAGAATCAGATCTGAAAAACAAACAACTCCCTATGATATCACTCCTAAAAAAATTTCTTGATTCATGCAGCCCTGGCATGTGACAGACAAGCTTCTAAGTGATTTGGAATTGGCAACCACATTTGACATGTTGGCCCACTGTTACTTTGGTCTGTGCATGTCCCTCTGTTCTCACTTTCTTCTTTTCAGCATCATGTGACATAATCCAACATTTCCATCCTCATTTCTCACAAAAGCTCCTTGCATTTAGTGGACTCTTACTAAATGTTTGCTAACTCATTTGCATTCTCTGGATTGCATTGCTGTGTCTCTGGCATCTTTTCTATCCTTTTTCCATCTGAACATCAGGAACAATCAGGCAGTCATGCCATCTAATAAGAGAACAATGCAGGTATGATGTTTTTGACTCCCGGTATGAAAACAGAAAAACTGTAAGCAGAGTAGATCCCCCAGTGCCAGATAAATAAAAAATCTAGATGTGGGTAGGAAAATACCCAAACCTCTATGTTCTTGAGTTGGCTCGCTCCTTTGTGAATGCCATGTTTGATGAAGATGGTGCACGCTTGAGCCTGCGTGCCATCTGGACATCGTCTGCCTTTAAGACTGACCGGAGGCCTACCACAGCACTCAGAATTTGGTATGCTCAAAGCTTCCTGACCCGTGGTCTGAAGGACTTCGTACTTCTCATTCCTAACGTGCCTCTCTGCTCCTTTCTTTTTTCCTTTTTTTTTTTAATAAAAATTTGATTTTTAATTGGATGCATGCACAGAGTTATAAAATGCATGAGCACAAAATGGCACTATATTTGTGATAAGCCATCTAATAAAATCCAAAGGAGGAAACCTACTCTATAGGTATGTCTAGATTATGTGGTTAGAACTAGTAGCGTCACCAAATACCACGAGGAATATTCAAGATATTTTGGAAGAGGAGCAGTCTAATATATCTACTAGTATCCATATGTATGTCTACCAAAGATTAGGAAAGACTTTACCTTTGAATTATACATCTTAATGTGTGTAAGGGGGGAAAACAGCTGAACATAAGCTAAATCCTAAATTAAATTGGGTAATAAAAACACCATTGAAAGTGGGCCTTGGAAAAAGTTCTGAATTAAAAAGAAGCTGCATGTGCACGGAATTCAGTGTGATACATCAATTCTCTGAAGCAACATGTTGTAAAATTTTACTGCTTTCTTGTTGTGTTTTATATCTTGTTCTCTCCAGGCTTCGTGGACTCGACCAGAGAAGCAAGAGGTATAGCTTACCTGACCACTAGCCAGTCTCTAGTTTTGAAAGCATTACAGTTTAACTCACCATTGCAGTTTAATAACCAGACATGCTAAACTGATTAGTAATTTAGTTAGATTAAAGAATAGGTCAATAGTGGTAGAGGTTACTTAGCAATAGTGTCGTTTTAGGATGAGCAAGCAAGCTGTGTTGGGAGTGGATGAACAAATCCTTATTATTTCCTAAAACTGGTTCTTATTCTCTTGCTGGTGCTGGTAAAATCACATCCAGGTAATTATACTTATAGCAATACATCGCCCCAATTCCCAGGCCAGACATTTTGAAATGATGAAATTTTTTGACTCTCACCTGGTTGATGTGGCTTTGGATCATAAAGTCACAGAGTTAGTGATCTAAAAACCCACTCAGCCCTTTTCTTTCCAGCTCAACTCATCTTGTTGCTCACTTATTTTATAATGACTGGTCTTGGTAAATTATCACATCACATTTCATCTCGAAGCAATGCAGATGCCATCTCTCATTGGTTTTCCCAAATTGCTAAACATATCTATGTTACTTTTATAGAGCATTAAATTTACGAGATTAGAATGGTTTGGCACAAGTGGTTCTATGTTTTTTTTTTTAAGTCAGTAGCATTTAGCCTTTGAAATTTCCCTGACCACCTGCTTCAGTTTGGGTAAAATGGGACTTAGTTTGAATAGTGAAGCTAAATATTAATCCTTAGATTTTTGTTGCTACACCAAGACCCTACTTTTGATCCTGCCTATCATTCGTTACCTGATATGCGTGATTGACAGATAGTGAAATAGAAAACAGAATGCTTTAGATGAGATTCATGGATCTAATCTATAAATACTTTTTTAAAAAGTGGCTTTTGTCTCTTATGTGGATGGAACTTTGATATTGTATAATACTATAGATGCAGAATATGACAACCCTATAGACTGTTTTAATTAGGTAAATCTATCCTCTTAGTCTTAGAAATTATAATTCTTCAGAACACATAGCTCATGTGTTCAGGTCATAGCTATAAATATTTAATGCTGTTTAATGTTTAAAAATTGACTGCCTGTCCCCAGGCACTGACATTAGTTTCTGCATATGAACACACTGCTGTCATCAAATCTAGTTCATTATAAGCTCTCTTTGTATCTTATCTTGCTCCATGTCACGGGGACTGGAGTTCCGTGCACACCCTTGCTGAAATGCTTTCCTCCTATTGCACAAGGATCACTTACAGCTGTCACAGGCTGGTGTTCTACTGCCCCAAAGTCATGGACCCACTGGGATTGGGGAAGGGAGGGAAGAAGGGTTAGTTACCAGCCACCCCTGAGCAGCTACACATCTCATTCTGCTTGGCCTTGTACATCTTCCCCCTGCCGTTCTGATTTAGACCTGGCTAGAGGAGGAGGTGAGATTTATCACAGAGAATTAAGGAGATATTAAGAGAATTATTATTATAATCAGAAGTAATAGGTTTACTCCCAGGAAAACAGACACCCCACTCTGTTTTCCAGAAGTATCCTTAAATCTTGAGTAGCTCATTCTGGAAATAATTGACTTTCAAGTGAGTGCCACCCCTGGGGCTTGGAAGTTCCATTCCCTCCTACTTGTCTCATTCAGAGATGAAGACCGTAAGTCCAGATGAGCTCAAAAGAAGACTTGGGTTATGGCTAATTTTACTTTATAAGCTCTGAAAAGCCTTAGCACTTTTATCTGGAAGAAGGGAGACAAAAATGTTTTGATGGGAAGAATAATTATAGTTGCCCTCCATGCTTTTTTTGCAAAATGGGGTCTTCTTGCCATTGTGATCTTTTCATTCTTGCCCAGAGTTTATGTGCTTCCTTCATGAACCTGGACCATCCACATGACTTTTGGTCTGGATGGCTTGTAGGTGGCACTTGTCCTGGTGCCAGAGTAAAACATTTCAGAGAGACATAGTCCAGTCACACTGGAGTCTCTCTGTGTCCCCTCAGAGGAAGAAGCGGGCATCTGGCAAATAATCCCATCATCAGTCCTGTTGTGAGCCACTGCAAAACAAGAATTCTCTATAGAGGGCTGCCTCCCAGTCTGTTGACGTCATTAAATGAGAAAAATTTCCACATAGAGAAATTTAGAAAAAGAGAGTAGATAGAAGAAAAAAAAAAGTGTGCTGTCAATGCAACCATTTCTTGAGCTTCTCTTCAACCATTTTCTACATTATTCTGAGTCAAGGCTGCTCGTGCCCCCCGTTGTCTGTTCGTGTTCTCTTCTTACCTACATGACTTTCTTTGCACCTTTCACTGCAATATCTCTTCCTTATGGAAATGTTCTCTTGACTTCCCAAAGATTCTGGTCGGTTTTCCCTGTTTGTTTGTGGCAGCCCCAGGACAAGTCTTGTCTGTGTGACAAAGAATCAGACTAGTTCAGTCGCTGGCTGGCGTCACTGTCAGTTGAACCTGTGTTCTCACTGAGATAACCAGAAAGGCTTTGTGTGGACTTCAGTCCCCTCGGCCTTCATGATGCTGTGTTTTGGGCAAATATTTGAGTGACAAGCAGAGCAGGTCAGCCCTTTAGAGATACTTGCAGGGATGGTTTCATGCTCTCGATGCCACTAGCTTAGATTGATGGGTAAAGATTTTGTACGGCACATGAAAATCGCCCCTGGAACGTACCAGCACATCCCTTGTCAGCCCACGAGAAAAGGAGTCCCAGGATCTAGTTTAACAAAATGGATGTCTTGAGGCTTTCTAGCCAAGTACTCCACACCTGTCTCTTGTCATCTCTCATTAATGTGTAGCTTCTCCTGGGGTGCAGCTTCTCAACCAATCAGCCTCACAGATTTACAGGTCAAATAGGAGCTGAGAGCCACAGGCATCCGGGCATTCCTTTCTGAGAGGAATGGCCCTCCTAGCAGCAGCAGGTGGTGATGACTGTGCTTCTGTCTCCTTGTGAGCACTTGTGTTCTAGCTTCCAGATGTGAAATGTGATGGAGCTGAAGTGGATTAGATCTATCTGTGACAGTAAAAGGGACTTCCTGTGGTAGATCTGCTGAGACTGCTCATAAGGCCAACGGTGCCTGCTTTTGAGCTTCCCAACCTGGCTGCTGTGTCATGCTGCACTTGTAGATTTCAGACTTCCAAACCAGCATATCAAAAGAACCTGAAGCCAGGTGTTCTTTCACTCTTTAAAGGCCCAACCCCATGGGATGACAGATGCCATATGCAGAGCACTCACCTGTCCATCTCTATGGAGTATCACATACTAGAGATAAGAGTGTGGCCCAGCCTACAAGGAGCAAGACGCCTTCTTCAGATTACCAGCATTCTTGAGAATCTGAACTTGGGCCACGTGCCCAGACTTTTCCTAGGCCATCAGTCATTTTACTTAGAGTGTCAATGTGGTAAACCTGCTTGGAAATATTCCAGTTCCCATTGTCTAGGGATCATATGCTTATTCCCTTCCTGACCAATCTCTGTAATTCCAGAGACTCAGGAAGCCAGTTTTAGTATCAAGGGCTCGAAAATCGTGGTGACTCTGGTGTCAAGGATGTCAGATCTGTCTGGGACTGTATACCACTGTCCTTGGAGAGGGGATCCAGTTACCCTCACCTCCAGCTCAACAGCTCCGGAGCTCTGAGTTGTTGGACTTTTTTTGGAATGAAGTTATTTTAAGCATCCAGGAAAGCGAGGCATCTGCAGAAATACAGATTTCTTGTATAATTTCTTACATTTGAGCACATTCGGATTTCCCATTACGTGTGCAGGCACCGTGGAACTGGCAGATGGGCAGACTGCTGGAAGGAAAGGGTGAAGGGTGCAGGTTTCCCAGAATCTCATGGGGCCATGGCTGTTGCTGCTAGGATGTCTGCTGCCCAGAGCTTTTGCTTCCATTTTAGACATGCTAAACAAAGTCGTCCTGGGGGACCTTAGTTGTCCTTGTCCCAAACCAATCTTGGCACATCGTCTAGGCTGCTTGCCATAAACTGAGTCCCATTTTCTGTTTTGGATACCCCTAAGTTGCCATGGTGCTCTCCGGAGCCTCTCCTGCTAGTTGATACTTAAAGTAAGATGTAGACCTTGGCACAGAGAGGAGAGAGGATGTGAGACTGGTCACAGACAAGCGATGGCCTGGTCTCCTAGCTCCCGCCCTGCCTCGGGCTCTGACGCTCTCCCTCCCCTCCCGGCAGACTCTGGACGGGCACATGGTGGTGCGCAGCCACGCCCGCGTGTCATCCCTGACTCTGAAGAGCATCCAGTACACAGACGCTGGAGAATACATCTGCACTGCCAGCAACACCATCGGCCAGGACTCCCAGTCCATGTTCCTCGAAGTGCAATGTGAGGAATAACTGTGGAAAGATGAGGGGAGGGAGAGCCGCGCAGGGTTGGGGTGAAAGGGGAGAGTAGCAGCCAGGACCTGAGCTAAACCCTGTGAGCTCTGCTCACATTCGCTGTGGCGGTTGGCCCTGGGCCATTTCAAAGCTATGCCCCGGGGTCGCCCCCCTCACACCATCCCCAGGCTTCTTACAAGCCTGCATGCCTTTCAGTCTTCCCGCACAGCTCACAGGACTGCCGAAACGGCCGACCTCTACCATACCCCAGCACTAGCTCTGCTTTGGGGCATATTCGCCTTCCCAGTGCCAGGAGACAGGATCTGTGGGGCCCCACAATTGTGGCAGTCTTCCTGATAGTCATTGCCCTTCATTGCAGATGCTCCCAAGCTGCAGGGCCCCGTGGCTGTATATACCTGGGAGGGGAACCAGGTGAACATCACCTGCGAGGTATTCGCCTACCCCAGTGCCACAATCTCGTGGTTCCGAGACGGCCAGCTGCTGCCAAGCTCCAACTACAGCAATATCAAGATCTACAACACCCCCTCCGCCAGCTACCTGGAGGTGAGTCGCAGTGGGGCAGGGGCAGGGTGGAGAAGGCACAGTTGGACAGTGGATAGGCTCCTGGATGCAGCGAAAATCTTCTCTCTTGCTCCTCTGGCATGTCCTGAGCAGGGGAAACACTGACTGGAGAAGAAACTGACCCTCAGCATGGCCACCTCTCTCCCTGGGCCCAGATCAGGGCCTGGGAGGCAGAGTGTGCCTCTCCCACCAGCCATTTTCTGTTCTTCTGTGGTTTAAAGCTGGGCTGGAGCTAATGATTCGTGTAGTACTAGTTCTATTCTTTACTAATTTAACCCAATAAGTAAGGATCTGAGTCAGTGGCCGTTCCATGGGGTACTTGTAACCCAAGAGTTCCTTCTTTCTAAAGGTGACCCCAGACTCTGAAAATGATTTTGGAAACTACAACTGTACTGCAGTGAACCGCATTGGACAGGAGTCCTTGGAATTCATCCTTGTCCAAGCAGGTGAGCGCCCTTCACAGCTGTACCCCCCTTACCCTTGCCAGCCCATTCTCTGTCCTTTGATGATGGCAGGAGAGTGGGAAGAAGAGAGGGCCAGAGTCAGCAAAGCCAGAGGTTCAGGGAGCAAGAAGCCAATTGAGGCATGAGGATCTGGGCATGGGGCACGTTGGGAGAGAATTATAGGATGAGGTGGACCAGGAGGACAGGATACAGGCTAAAAGATTCCCAAGAGTGAGCACAGAGGAGAGAAACATGCTTCATGATTGGGAGTTATGTCCTTGGCCAAATTGGGCTTACCTGGGTCTGCATATGTGTCCTCCCCACAGACACCCCATCTTCACCATCCATCGACCAGGTGGAGCCATACTCCAGCACAGCACAGGTGCAGTTTGATGAGCCAGAGGCCACAGGCGGAGTGCCCATCCTCAAGTACAAGGCTGAGTGGAGAGCAATGGGCGAGGAAGTGTGGCATTTCAAGTGGTATGATGCCAAAGAAGGTAAGTCGAGAAGAGTTGTTGTTTCCTTTAGAAGGAAGGGTTACTCAGTGTCGGGCACACACTCACCCCTGTGTTCACCAGATCCTGGCACCCTGACTGCCTTTTTGGGTAGGGTGGCACACCACTGTCACCTACTGGGGGAGGCCAGGCACCACCACCTGCCATCCTATTCATATTCCTCTACTGTAGCACCACCACCGTCCCCCCAGAATTAGGGCACGGTCACATCTCATGTAGAGTGGTTGACCTTCTGGCCCTGGTACTTCAGAACCTGGTTCTCATGACCATGCCAGGACGGAAGAGGCCATCTCAAGCACATTCTAAGCAGAAGCCCTGCTTAGGTGCTGAGCACAACCAGATGAGTCCAGTCCACCCCTGTGCTGCATGTTTGGGTTACATGTGCTGTGGGTTCTCTGTCGTCACCCATCCAGTCCTGCTTGGTTATATTCAGGGACTGTCATGTAATTATAACATTAACCATAAGCAGAGTCAGCAAGACAAGTCTGCTCTTAAATCAATCCTGTGATATATTTCCAAACTAAAGATTTAAAAAATAACCCTTGGATGACTGCAATTTGAGGATTCTGAGCCCAGACTATCTTTCTCTGAGAATTGAGTATATTTAATGTCTAACTCTCCCTTTGGGGTTTAATTGGAATAACTCAATGAAGTGTGTTTTGTTTCTGTAGAAATCTTTAATCCTGGCCTGGTCTGTGGTAACGAGGATGGAACTGGGAAGGGGCTAGGACGCAGAGTCATAGCCGTTCAGAGACATCTTCCAACCCACTTTTACTGAGAATTTGTTCCACCAGGGAGCTTCCCGCACTCCTTCAGCTGTGGGGAGGGGTGGAGGGGGCTGAGAGGAATTTCTGGGTAATCAGGACTAGAACTGGAAGAAAACAATCCCTTTACCTTCCCATCTTCCTTCTGAAACCTCATACCAACTTTGTGGCAGGTTGATCCCATGTTACAGTCTGTCAAACAAGCTTTTTTTTTTTAACATCACTTCTAATTATTTTTTTATTGTGGTAAAATATATATAACATGAAATTTACCATTTTAACCATTTTTAAGTATACAGTTCAGTGGCATTAGGTACATTCACCTTATTGTGCAACCATCACCACTATCCATCTCCAGAAGTTTTTCATCATCCTAAACTCAGTACCCATTAAACAATAAATCCCCATTCCCTCCTCGCCCCCAGCCCCTGGCAACGGCCATTCCACTTTCTGTCTCTATGCAGTTGCCTATTCTATGTACTTTATATAAGTTGAATAATACAGTATTTGTCCTTTTGTGTCTGGCTTATTTCACTTAGCGTAATGTCCTCACGGTTCATCTACTTTGTAGCATGTATCAGAATGTCATTCCTTTTTAAAGCTGAATAATATTCCATTGTGTGTACATACCACATTTTGTTTATCCATTCAGCCATCAATGAACACTTGGGTTGTTTCCACCTTTTGGCTATTGTGAACAATGCTGCTGTGAACATGGGTGTACTAATATCTGTTCCAGTCGTTGCTTTGAATTCTTTTGTGTATATACCCAGAAGTGGAATTGCTGGATCAAATGATAATTCTATGTTTAGGTTTTTGAGGACCTGCCATATTGTTTTCCACAGCGGCTGCACCATTTTACCAATAGGCTTTTCATCCTTTGTGATCCTTCCCATATTCTCACAACAGCCAACATGGAGGGCATCGTTACCATCGTGGGCCTAAAGCCTGAGACGACGTACGCGGTGCGACTGGCAGCCCTCAATGGCAAGGGTCTGGGTGAGATCAGCGCAGCCTCCGAGTTCAAGACGCAGCCAGTCCGTAAGTAAAGCGGGCTGCCCCGCCTCTTCCCCCATCCACTCTCTTCTCCTCGGGGGCAGTGGGGGACCCTGAGCCGGCCCGGTCCCTTGTTCAGATGACAGCTTTTTGTCTTTCAGATCCCTCTGGTCAAGGTGATCCCACCTCCTAGTTCTCTGGCCCTCAGTCATGGCTGATAGCTCTCCCTTCATCCTCTCTTTCTCGAAGGGCTTGGTGACTGTCATAGTAGCTGGTCCAGCTTGTTAGAGTAATAGCCAGGAAGGAAACCCAACACATTATTAGAGGGATTGGGGAGAAACATGGCAGTGTGTTGTGGAGGGATTTTGGAGGTTTGCTTTTTGACATAGGTCACAAAGGCCCTAAGCACCCTGTGACTTGAAGGAAGCGGGTACAGGCAGTGACAATTCGCATAATTAGTTGTGGGATTTTTGATGCAGCAGAGATACGAAGTTACGGAAAAACGGAGGCTGCTGTAGGATACCTAAGCAGGAGCAAAATGCCAGCGTTGCAAAAGGGAAAAGGGTGGCTGAGGCTTTTGACGTTTCTGCCCCTCCTCCCTCCCACACCAGGAGCACACGTCAGGGTCTCCCTCCCTCATCGCCTCTTTCAAGAGTCGCTTCTTCCTGATTCCATTCAGGTTGCATCTCTGTTTTCCTCCGTCATTCCCGTTCCTTAGACTGTGCCTGCCATGCTCTTCCCACCGTTCCCACAAAGAGCCAGGCTCTGGGCGAGCCCTGTTCTAGCAATATCCCTCCACAGACCTGAGTTACTGCCCTGGGAGGATCGTGAGTCCATCCAGCTGGAGAAGATGCTGTAAAACTGACTCCTTGAGTGGTCGCAAAGCTCCCCGGGCCCGCTCTGATTCCTAGAATTAAAAAGCACACGGAGGAAACATTTGCTTCCTTCTCTTTGACGCCAGGGACCTGCAAAACGATCCCCTTCCCTCCTCCCAGAAATAGAAAGCCTGTCTCATCCTCCTTCTACAGGAATTGCCTCTTTCTGGATTTGAAGTAATTTGATAATTTGAGTTTCCAGCTCCGTGTGCTCTGCGGATCCTATTCATTTCTTTTACATCTTGTGTTTTTTTTTCTTGGGTCTGTCTCTTGTCTTTTCTTTTCGTCTGTGTTCCATCCATGGGAAATGCAGATAACCCTCTTCCACGTAAGTGCCTCTTCCTACCTCATTACCTGTTTTGATAGCGTTAACATCGACTAGTCCTAGTTCTTAATTTAGTTCGGTCCCTTTTTTGTACCCTAGAGGCTGACGTAGATGATACTGTCCAGGCCCTAACCACACTCACCTTAGTCTAGCTGTGCTCTTGTTAATGTCCGTAGGTTACTCCAAGAGGCTAACACTCGTCCTGTTTTAGAGCATGCAACTTCTGTGTCTTTTGAAATTGTGTTTATTTATTAATTTGTGTGTGTGACGATTACCCTGTGGCGGAGGTGATGTTTGCTGAGCCAAGCATGATGGGGGCCGCAGATGGTCTCTGAATAGCACGCTATAGCACTGCCTCACCTTAGCCAGGATGCCAGAAAAGTAACCACAGCCTCACCAGGCCTCTATTCAGAATCCCTTCATGGGAAAAAGAAGCTGACAAGATTTTCACATTTGCCTTTAGAAGATAAGAGAACTGAGCTCATTGCTCCTTCCATTTCTGTCTGTCAGAGTGGTAGGTGGAGGGCACTGGGAGGACTGGTGGGGAGGCCCTGCACCAGCTGCCACCGCGAGGAGGAGTAGCATGAACTTGGGTTCCAAGTCACGGACGGATGGGTACATCCTGCAGGCAGCTGCCGGGGTGTTAAACCCCCAGTTCCCGTCAACTCTGTCCCTTAGCACTAGGCTACTTGTAACGTGCATTTCCATGTTTGGGAAAACTAACCAGCTACTGGTTAGCATGTGGAGAGGGTCTCATTCTCCCCAGGAAAGACACTCTAATTGTGTAAGCTGTAAATAGCGGACATAGGGAGCAAGGGTAACAGGAAGCTGGCCTGCTGCTCTGGGAGCAGAACTGTGTTCTGACCTCCTTGGCCTGCATAGATGCCCCTACACATCACTTCTGCTGAAGCGTGGCTCTTTCGTCCTTGGCTGAGCTAGGAATAGTGGAGGGAAGTGTTACCCAGAGAAACTCAGAAGAAAAGGTATGCAGAAAGCTGCACACTCTTTTCATAAAAAGCTCCTAGCTCCTGAAAGGCACTCGGGGAAGCTTATCTTTTTAAAATTTATTTGGAAATATTGCAGCAACAGCAGAAAATAAGTAGCTCAGTGTAGGCATTCTGAGATTTTGAGCAAGTGCTAAATCCACTATCTCAGCAGAGTTGGTTCCTGAATGAACCGGAATGTTCTGGAAGGAATCAGAATGAGAGGGTGGAGTTGTCAGGTAGGACTGACTGCTGTCTGCTCTGGGCTGGCAGCTCTGCCAAGTGTGAATTCAGAAAGAGCAGCTCTGGGCATGAGAACATCTTCCTCCTGGATCCTTAACCTGAGTCTTCAGGTTTCCTCTCTGCTGGATTTTATCAGTAAATGAATGCTAGCTCAGTTACATTACAGAGAGGAAGGCTGGTGTGAGGCCTCCTTTTGAGTTTCTAACCAGTAACTGGGGTTTCAGTACTGAATCAGAGTAACTGGGCCTTGAACTTCAAAGGCCACGGTGGTTTTCATTCATTGCCAGCTCAGCCCTTATAAAGGTGAGAATTTTTATAGCAGATGCTATGTTTAAAAAATCAATGTTTAAAAAAAAGAGAGAGACCTCTAGACCTTTTTGTTTGTTGTCTGCTAATGTGAAAACAGATAATTAATCAAGATTCCAAGAAGCCCTTTGGCTATGGTGGGGTCAGCTCTCCATTCTAAGTAGATCATGAATGACACAGTAGTAGGCATTGTTAGAGGCATGAAAAGTCAGTTTTCTCAATCATCTAATAAAGTTATGATTTAAAGAACTGAAAAGCAGACTTCTTTTAGGTAAGGAGAACTATGGCACAGCCGTAGAGTTTAGTGCCTTTTTCAAACACTTGAGCAGGATAAGAGGTGGCACATGTGTGGGAATACGTGGGAACGTCATACTCTTACTAAAGTTGTTATTACTGTCTTGCCTTGCGCCCTCATAGCCTTCCTAGAGTTGCTGAAGTCAGGGCCTAGACCTAGGGGTATCCTGTTGCCCCTAGACCCATCCTGACAAAGGATACAGTTAGAAGGAAGACGCCAGCTTTTACCACTGCCGTAACAAAACCCACTTACTGCTACTAGGAAGTGAGGACGAATTTTAGAAAGGACCTTCTCTTGAGTTCTCACTCACATTCCTTGGAAGGCACAAAGTTTGTCTCAACTCAGGTAAACAACATCAGCCATCAGTTTAGCTACATGCTTACACCGAGCCCAAGAACCAGCAGTTGATTTCTGACACTGGCTCATCTCACCCACTGACGGTGCATTCCCACCCTGTAATGTTGGGGTGCACAGCCTGATCCCATGACACTGGAGTGAGGCCCTGGGTGCCCTCAACCCAAGGGAGAGAAGAAACAGGATCAACGGGAGCTGGCATACTGGACAGAGAGTCATTGCTACCAGACCCCTGGGTTAGGAGGAGTTAGGTGAGAGCCAGTGCATTTTGCATTAGCTTATCACTTGAAGTTTGCTGAGATGTGTCAGTAATGGGGCTGCTTTCTTGATTCCTTAATAAACTTCTCCAAATTCAGGGGCATGAATATGTCAAGGCAGGGATGAGCAGGTGAAACTAGCCAAAGCCACAAATACCTCAAGGACTCCTGCTTCTGAGCTGCCAGATTAGAAAGCCTGGCTCACCTGTTTGCAAATTCCTTTGAGTGTGGTTCATCAGTGTGTGTGAAGGTGATAAGGAAGCTGTGACTGCAAACAAACAAATAGACCTTCAACCTGGGAAAATGTTCCTGTTACATGTATTTTTAAGCCAGATATCTTCGTGCTGTCAAGATCCTCTTAGGTGGAAAGCTGACAACCTGTTTGCCTTAGGAAGGGCTGCTTCCCTCTCAGAGCTGCTGAGGCCCTAAAGAGATGATGTGATAGTTGATTATGACTGTTTTCCTCCATGATTGAGCCACACACCTTCGGAATTTCATGGCCTGAATATTACCTCTTAATTTGCTTCTGTACCATGAAGCAAAATAGACAATTTCTTTCAGGGTGTAAAGATTATGCATGAGTCTCTGATTTTTAAAAGCATCTTGAGATTTTTCTTTTCCCATTTTGCCCCCTAGATGGCACATTGCAAGTATAAGTTAAATGCATTGTAATATATGGTGGTTAAAGCACATACAACTCTGTCCCTTCACCAGAGTATTTTGAACAATTATGCAGACAATTCAAGTCAAAAAACTAAAAAGAGAAAGAGAGAGAGATACACTTTACCTGAATTAACCAGACCATCAAGTCATGATGAGTTAGTGGCCTATCACTCTGATTGCAGTGACATTGTACTCACACGGTTTAATGAAGTGACCTCATCTGGAAGGTAAAAGGAAGACCAAACCAGGCGTGTCAAGGCAATGTTGGAGATATGGTGATGTTTTTCCACATAACTCTCAAAGGGGATTTTGTTTTCTGATTGTTGACAGGACAACTTCTGAATATTTGCCAATGAAAAACTAAAGAACCACTCACTGGGGCCGGGCCCGTGGCTAGTGGTTAAGTGTGCACGCTCCACTACTGGGGGCCCAGGTTCGGATCCCGGGCATGCACCGACGCGCCACATGTCAGGCCATGCTGTGGCGGCGTCCTGTATAAAGTGGAGGAAGATGGACACAGATGTTAGCCCAGGGCCAGTCTTCCTTAGCAAAAGAGGAGGATTGGCATGGATGTAAGCTCAGGGCTGATCTTCCTCAAAAAAAAAGAACCACTCACTGTCCAAAATGTCTTGATGCACCATTTCTAACCATTCTCCATGCAGAAAGTTGGTTAGCGTTAACTTGTTTAGGGAGAATAACAATATTATTTTCATCACTCTCCATACACACAGCAGCATCCAGAGAATCACATTCTGTAGGGTTTTCTTGGAGGGCAGCAGCCATCATAGTATCATCAGGATGCCAACAATCATGAACCTCACGCACTAGTAAACATTAGTAAGTGGGATGGTTATTTCCACTTCATTTGGATATTGAAATTAGAGAGTGAGATATACAGGTTTTGCTGCAAATATGTGCTGTAAGTGTCAATATATGCCTATATACAAAGACATTTATGTAATACGAAAAGCCCAAGTCTTTTTCTCCTTTACTTGTTCACCTTAAGCTGGTTCCCTTTCCTCCTGTATGTCTGACCCTATGGAGACAGCTGGTCCTGCTGAACTGGCTATTTGTTTTCAGGAAGGGTTGGAGGACTCTGCAGCTGTTCCTGGCCCCATCCCTTACCTGCACCGCAGGGCTTGGCAGGCGCACAGGCTTAAGGTTTGAAGTGAGAGAGCCCTGCTCTCTGCCGGTCCTCCGGCCACCTGTTCTCCTGCATGGTGTTCTTCTGCACTTGAACTCGCTCTGGCTTCTTGTACTGACATCCCAGGATGGACTCTTCCATTTTTTCATTCAGTGTCTGTGTGCCTCGAAATCTCTTTTCCCCTTTTTTTCACCTTCATTTTTCTCTCCTCAGCGGCTCCTGCTAGCTCTTCGACCCCTGTCCCATTGTCTCATCCAGATAGTGAGTATCTTTTTCTTCATCCATCTCCCTGCAGTTTGCTTTCCACCAGCCACAGTGGGTCTGCCTAATGTTATCTCCTTCACCAGGTGATCATTCAACTCTGTTGGCGGAAAACAGTGCCAGGTTTTAGAGAAGCAAATGAGAAGAGAAATAGGCAGAGGGCCTCTCAGATTCCTGGGAGGCAGCACTCCCCCAAAGAGGAGGCAAATGAAAAGCATTGCTCTGGACAGAAATGCCTGCAGGCAGGCTCCTGAGGCCGCCATAGCCCAGCCCTGTCCCCGGGGTTCTTAGTGGGCCGGACCAAAGCTGGTATTTGGAGAAGCCAAAGGAATTTGCCAAGACACATGCAAATTCTGCAGGGTCATAAGAAATGCCTGGGGTGTTGTGTGTTTGCCCTTCATTTTAATTGGCACAGTTGGATTCAGATGTTGAAATTAGATAGCGAGGCCTGTAGCTTTTGCTTTCTCCATAAATGCATACATTTCTCATAAATATTTGTGGGGAAATCAACAATGTCTGCTTGCAGATGTGCCTGGCAATAGTGCTTAGGCAAATTATTTAACCCTTCACAAGTGAGCCTTGTTTTTCTCCTGAAAACAGGGTGAGTAGTCGCCCTCCTTCTACCCCACCCTTCCCAAAACAACAACAAACACTATAGCATTTATCAAGCTGTGTTTGCCCACCCAGAGCAGTGGCACTGGGCCTGGCAGTGGCATCACCTGGTCAGTCTCTGGCCGTTGTCATCCTGACTGAGCCTCACGCATTTACGATCTTATTCCATTTGGCTGCCTGTCCTTTTGTCTGAGTCCTTGGGAGTAGAGAGAGCCCCAGGCCTGCCACTATTTGGAGTTTTGAACCTAGCTTTCTGAGTGAAGGAGCAAAGTGAGACAGCAGCTGAGTGAGGCCAGCGTGTCGTGCCAATGCGCACCAAGAGCAGCAGACAGCGGCGAGGCTGGCGTGTTCTCCTTAGTACATCAGAAGCCCCTGCACTGTGGGCGCAGCTTCAGGAGGCGACTCAAGCCCCAAGCTCAGAAGCTTTCTTGCATCTATCTGACTCAAAAACAAACCCACCACCCCGTGCAGTGCTTTCCAGGCAGTGGATTGGAGCAGCAGGAATTCAGGCTTGGGAACCAGACAGCCCTGGGTTCGAATCTCAGCTCCCCCACTTCTGCATACAGCTCCACGACCTTGAATGAGTCACACAGCGTCCCTGAACCTCAGATTTCCTATCTCTCTAATGAAGGATAGATTCTACCTGCCTTTTAGGTGTTTGTGAAAAAGAAACATTAAACACAAAAAGCACAAAACACAGTGCCCAGCGTGTAGTAGCTGGAATTCATGCTAAGAATAAATGCGAGTGATGTGATTACTTGCTGCATGAGAGTAATTTGTCAGCAAATCTCTGATAATCTCTTTAAAATATCTATATTGATAACTCAGGGAAGAAGGGAGTAAGAGAATATCTCCTTCACCGTTCTCTCTTTTCTTTATAATAATGCCTTTATATATGTATGCACACAAACATATGTATTTTTTATTTATGAATTTATCTCCATTCTCTCCTTCACCTTTCTGTCCATCATGTTTCCATAGCAACCTGGCCTCTGCCTGCCCTTACAACCACAGAACCTTCTAGTGAGTACAGAGCTGAGCTGCTCCTGGCCAGATTTCTGCTTGTTGCAGAGCTGACTTCTGGGTCCCAGTGCTGCCCGGGGTTTTCTCTTGTATTAAAAGCAACAGTTGTGAATGCATGGAGGCCCCTCGCCTGGTGTGGTTTCCTAAGCATGCTGTCTGCTTGGCCGAGAGAGCAGACCCAGCATCACGAAAAGAACTGGGGTGATTGTTTGAAGAATACTCTGTGCACAGAGGAGGCCTTTCCAAATTTACCCTCAAGTTAAAAATAGAAGAGGCTTAGAGAAATGCCGAGGAGACAAAAGAAGAGCATCTCTTGCCAGCTTTTGTTGTCCCTCCCTTCTGAAGTACACACACATACACACACACACACACACACACACACACAAATACAGAAGTAGCTAAAAGACTGAGAATAAGGGAAGAAATAGGAAAAAATGGCTTCTTGGGGAAAGGTAGAGGATCATGCAAAGAAGGAAGGAGTGGCCTCTTCCTGACAGCGTGCCCTCCTTTGTGTGGCTGGAGGCAGCGTGGAGGAGGTACACAGATAGATCACACGTGGGAAGGAGAAGCACTTCTGTCTCCTCACAGGCCTCCTCCTCCATGTGGAAAAATATGGCCGGAAAAAGCCTAACCAGGCTCTCTCCAGTTTGTGTGCTGAGTCCAGATGAAAGTTCTGGAATTCACCTCCTGATGATAGAGTCAGGGCCAGACTGTATCGTCTTCTGTCGTGGAAAACATCACACTTCATCACAATGGTAACACGTTCCAAGCTAGTCTTTCTAATGCTCTAATGAAGTGAGCTTGTGTGTTGTGGCCTCATATCCCCTGACAAGTCAGCTGGAGTGTGTGTGTGTTTACAGTGTGTGTCCACAGCTGTGTGAGGGTTTTAGATTTTATAACATTTCTGAGTGCAGAGAAAAAATAACACCCCTCCCATTGCACAGTAGTCAGAGCAAGCAGGCAGAAAGCAGGTATGAGAAGTACAGCTCCTGCTCCCTGGGTTGGGGTTTCTGATACATAATTGAACAGAGAAGAAAAGAGTTTCCTGGTTCTGCGTGCTGCATGATATGGTTCTTTTTTCTAAAGCAGCACATAGCTAAGGGTCTGCTTTCTTGGTGTTCTCTCCATGTGTGTGTGCTGCAGTGAATTTTAATTCCTGATGCTTTGGAGGTTTCATTTTGTCAGCAGAGCAGAGTGGGTGACAACGAACTTTGCTCGCATGGATTTAATTCAGATGATGGTTTTTTTGCATTTGGAAAAGGAACACAACTAACAGCGCCTTTTCTTCTTCTGACAGCGATAGTCTCATCCTTTCCAGCTTGGGTGCAGTGTGTGTGTCAGGCATAGTAGGAGAAGGCTACATAATGCGTTTGTACAACTCATGTCCTATTTAAGGTGTCTCACTGTAGGTTGGTCTTCTCTGGAAGTAAAACACAGACTTGGATCCGGATTTTTCCTTATGGAGGAATTAGGTGTTTCTCCCCTGACATATGTTTAATTTTCAAACATCAGACATTTCTACCCACAGATAAAATGCTTAGTAATGACATCCAAAGAGAAGAAATTTTGAGTCTTTTTTATTTTGAACAACTTGACTACTGAGGCAAATTGTAGGTCCCAGTGGATACTGGGAGAAAGGAAAGACAGTCACAATTGGGCAGCCCCCTGTATTTAGCATGAACATATTCCTCAACAGCAAGGCAAAATGTAGCAACTGTGAATTGTGGTGGAGACAATAGCAGAGCAGCTATAAGCATACAAAAATCCATCGATCGTCCCGTCAATCAGTAGGGTTGAGAATAAATAATGTCTCCTCTTTTCGCTCGTGTGTGTGTTTTGATCCATTTATAATTGTGAATGAATGAAGGTACCCTAAATAAAATCGAAGCAGAAACTGCTCAGTTGTATATAATCCCTGCAGGGCACCCTTGGTTGGAATGTGCCAGAACCTATGTAATGTCAGATGATAAGAAGCACACATTCTATCAGCTCACAGAGGAAAGGGAATATGTAACTTGGTTCAAGAGGTTCTCTTGAATTATATTTAAACAGTGGTGTGCTTTGGGCAGAAAGTTATCCCCACTTCCCTTCTTTGCCCTTCTATCTTAGCCTCAACTGGCAATAGCCTGAACTTCTCTTGGCTTGTGAAAGTTAAGGCGGGAAAGCCAGAATGCCTTATGACAAGGCAAGGTCATTCAGTAACGAATTGGAATGTAAATACAACATAGGACAAAAAGGAATGTAGATAAATCCAAACAAGAAAACTATTTTTTTATTGTAAAAATCAAATTCATGTCTTATCAATACAGCCACATGTCTAAGAGAGAACTGTATCCACAAATGCCCCAGCATTAGTTTCATGTCGGACTCTCAGTTCATTGGGCCAGAGGTTCAGTTTCTGCTGTTTAGTGTTGACAGAGCCATTGTCTCAACCCCCAGAAGGAAAACCTATTCCCTGTCTGCACTGACCTCTTCTTTATTTATGTCTCGACTCGGGTATGTCTTCGGGGACTCCAGGATAACGTGGGCAGATGAGTAGAGAAAGATCCCCAGGGCTGCCTTCTCTGGCTCGCTTCCACCAAACCTTGTGCAGCCCGTGCCCCGTCTCCTTGCCGCACCAAAGGAAACGTGAAATGACTTGCCTTAATGTAATGTAATGTTTTATTCTTACAGAGCACACAGTCTATGCCTTAAAACTCTTGGAACTTTCCCTTCAGGACCCGTGTTTTGTTTCATCGCCCTTGTTTCCCAAGGATGCCAAGACATTTCTAGAATCTGTGAATAATAACTTGCTCTTTTCTTTTTCTTCAGCAGTGTCCTGGAATGACTTTGACATCTGGGTCCTGACAGAAACACCTCCCTATTTCAAAACAAGTTTACGTGCTTCTTGATGTGGTATTAATATGCAGTGTTGCAGCCATATCTAATGCTTATTGGTGTTGTTAACCAAATGCTCTTTCTGGTTTATTATTCTTCTATCTCTGGGCAGTTTTACTGTCCTCCCAATGTTTCCTATATATGCTGCTAGTTTAATTTGATTTCTCCTTTTATTTAGTCTGTGATTTTGTTGTTGATTTTTCTCCCTGCCCATTGTTTACATCAGTTTTTAATTTTTTTGTATTTTCCATGTGACCTCCTCCACTTTCCTTTCAACCAATCATGTGCGTGCGTATCATGTGACTTTGTCATGTGGCTTGCATGGTGCTGACGATGTCGTCCACGCTGGTGAACAGAAGGTAAAACTCTTTGTTCTGATTAGTCACATAAAGCTGGGACCACAGCCTGGCACCTAGGGCCCCCTCATTTCTTCCTGTCTCAGATTTCCTAAGGGAAGCCATTTGAGAGCTTTCCTCTTGTTCTCAATTCACAACCAGAATTCATCATTCTTTGCAGCCTTGACATGACAATTTGATACCATGACAGCCTTTAATATTTTGCTTCAAGAAATTTGGCCACACAAACTGCTATCAACAGTAAAACCACTTTCGCCACAGCACAGTTTGCAAACTTGAATTTTTACCAGATAATTCATAAAAATTATTTCCCAGAAAGCAGTTTTGTAAATTAGCTTTATAGCATTGTTGTTTACCTTTATCCAGTAGTTCTAAAAACCACAGTTGCTCTAAAATGAGTCGCATGTCCGTGAAAATGTGAAAATGTATCTGTTTACAACGTTGAAATGCTATAAAAAGAAATGTATCAATTGCAAAGGTTGTATTTGCCCAAAACCAATGAGAGTGCTTCATAAAATTCATGCCAGTCGAGGACTTTCTGAAATGAAAGATGTAAGACTTTGGAATTAGAAGAGTTTGGCTGCAATTGCTGAGGTGTCACTTTTCAAGAGTGACCCTCCCCCAGGCAGGGGGAAAAAAAAATCAAAGCAAAAGTCACTTGGCAATTACCATGACTGGAGATCTCCGTGGAATCAAGAAGCACATGACTGACCCTTGCAGCAAAGGAAATAAAATTATAGCCTAATTAAGAGCATAGCGGTGACAAAATAATTAGTTAATATTGCAACTGTCACAACCTTGTGAAAACATTTCTCGCTTCCCATAAAGAGAAAAGGAAGCCTCTGCTCACAGCTTCCCCGGTAAACTCAAACACCTATTCACAACCTGCCCTGGGAGTCATATGCATCCCGTTCTCTTCCAACTGAAAATGTTTCCTTCAAGTCACAACCTGAGACACGTAGAGGCTGCATTGATCACGAAAGCAAAACTAACACCAGTAACCGCCCAGTGTGCCCGTGCATGCAAGGGGTCCCCCGGGTGACCTCACTTCTCTGAGAACTGATTGGGCGACATCCACGCGAACAAAACCATCCACAGCTCGTCTCGCATGTTCTTTGTTTCTGGTTTGTCCTTTTGTTTCGTGCTCCCCATGTGTGTGAGCTTCGTGAATGTTCCCTCTCGCTCACCCTCCCCATTGGTCACCTCTTAGAACTTCTAGGTATGGCCACTGTGCCCCAATTTAGTCCCATTTACAAGCAGACTCCTGGACAGAGGCATAGATCAGAGCCGAACTCGCTTCCGAAAAGGAGATGTTTGCTATTTACGTCATATGAAATAAAGTAGAAGTGTCACCAAAGCAGGGGAACATCTGATGTGCTGGTAGCTCTGACCTGCCTTAAAAAACTATCTTAATCTGTGAGTCTTAGGGCAGAAAAATTGGGAGCTGAAATGTTCTAAACTCCAAGTCCCACCCAAAATATTGTGGTTTTGTTATTTCCCTGAGAGAGACCAGGCTCTTTCAGGCTTGTGGTGACCACTCAGAGGCTGATGTTCTGGGGAAAGGCCTGGACGGTGCCCTGGAAATCTTAAGTGTGAGCAGATGTTAGGTTGAAACCCATTAGTTTCTTTTTTAAAAACAAGTTTGTTCATTTCTGTGCAACGCTATGATTCAGAATGAAGCAAAGCACAGGGTTAAGATAGAAACTAATTCACACCTCGGAGGAGAGATCTCTTCCAGACATTTCAAGCAAAGCAAGAAGTGTTTGAAGATATTTACTTCAGTTGCCCTAGAAGCACACCTTAGCAGTGGTCTTGGCTGTCAGTAAAAAATGTGACCAGTACTAAAAAATCACTGAGAGCCTATGGAATTCCTAAATATGATTACCTCCTCATCAAACCATGGTCCTGTCTGTGACAGACTCTCTCCTGCCATTTGCAAAGGGACAGGCAGAGAACTTGTTATTCGGATGAGTGGCAATGTCAGGAAATGGCCTTTCATAATAAAATTTAAGGGAGTGGAGAGATCAGAGCAAATAATGTTTACAAGGGAGAGAAATAAAAGCTTAGTTAAGGACCGTTGGTTATCGCCTCCTTTCTCTGGGCATTAGTAAAGATTTAAGGTGAGTTAGGCCTAAATGAGGAAGGTTTAAGTGAGCAAGGAGTCTTTCTCCTGGCAATGGGTTGTGCACCCACAATTAATGAAATCCAGTGCTCCCTGTCCACCACCACGTCCCCCCCCAAAATTACCTGGAATGCACTTAACATCTGCTGATGTTCCATGCAGCTTGGGTTCCCATCCACAGTGTTTACTGAGTCCGGCAGTACTGAATCAGGAGAAGGGAGGTGAAAACAGACATTGAGCGCCGTGCCCCAGGGTCACTTGGCCCCTGAGCCTATAGAGCTTTGCCTGTAGAGGTCCATGGGAGGGAAGCTCAGGCGCCTGTCCCAGGAACTCAGGAGTGGGTTTGCTGTGGCGAGCTGAAATGCTCCCAATGCAGAAGTTATTTCTGACATCATGGCGTTGCGTAGGTGCAGGGCCTGCTTCCTCCAATGGCTCTGCCCGCTATTGAGGACTCTGTGTAAATGGGACTCCCCACCACCAGCATGTGTGTGACGAGAAGCCCCCTGTGCTCTGTCAGCGTGCTGCATGTTCCAGCATGACTCCCTCCCCACCCATTCATAATGATCTTTTTTTCTTTAGCTACTGACACTGCCTCGTGCTAGGACATGCTGATTCTGATGAACTAAACTCTTTAACACCCACTCTTCCTCCTTAGATTGAAAACATCACTAACCACCCCTTCCACTCCCTCCTTTATTTTTTACAGCTGTGTGTCTGGATTGCCACGGTCTCTGGCAGGTCGACATCGACTTGCACCAGGGGCTCCGCTCTAATTGCCTTTATACCTAAGGATTCCCTGCACTGGTGGTCCCCAGGGTAGAGAGGTAGCTTGAAAAGATTGAAGAGCGAGGCAGTGCTGTGTATCAGCCCGAATCCTGTGGGCAGGGATCAGGGGCTTTGGAAAGTGCCCATTTCCCTGGAGTTTACCAGGATGAGGGCTGAAACCTTCAGGAGCATCATACTTAATAAGTAACCTCACATCCATGAGATAGTGTTGAAGATGTGCGTAAACTCCCCTTGTGGCCTCGGAGGCAGGAGCTGAGTTAATTGTTGGTGATAGCAGTTATTTCTGTCATAACTTCCTCGGCCTGGATCAGCCCCATAACCACAAGCCATACCTTCGTGGTCATATTTTCTTTTTAGGATGATGAAACAAAGATAATTGATCAATTAATCTGTTGGTGTTTTCATGACACCCACGAGAAGGGAATTGGTATTTTTGTGGTTCAGTCTGTCAGAGTTCATTTGTTGCTGTTTAATTTGTATACCATGCTGCCATTTGCCTCCCCACCCCACCCCCAGCACACACTCACATTCATAATTCCTGAGAAAACCGATGGTGGAGAGGATTTGTGGACTAGAAGCCTCTGTGAGCTTGGCCACAGAGAGCTAAGCATCCTTTCTCTGTAAAAGCTGGGGAACTGGCCATGCTCCACATCTGCTCGTTCTGTACCCCAACATTCCCTGGAGCTGGGGACTAGGATGGCAAAGAGTCAGGTCACGCTGGCACAAGCAGATCCTTAACAATTAAGAGAAAAGTGCTCAGGAGAAAAAGAACATTTGACTCCCGAGGCCTGATTTGGGGGAGCGATGCTTAAGACGGATTGTCATCCATGCACTGTCGGCTGCTCTTGGGACTAGCCAAAAACCATCTCAGAACAGAATAGCCAGGTAGGTTGCCAAAGGGGGCATCAGGGAGATTTTGAGGGTCCAAGAATGGATGCAGCATAGATCACATCAGTTTGTTTGACGGCGGGGCTAAGAGCTTGGTCTCAGGAAGGAGAGTTTGTGGTCTCATAACTCTCAATCCTGATTCCCTTAGGTAAATTGCTGATCTCCAAAAGACCAGTCAAATTTCAAACCTCTTGATGTAATTTTGAATGTTCCTGAGTTGGAAAAACGAAATAGGCTATTTGAACAGCTAAATAATACATTTTAGGCTTTTTCAAATAAATAATAAAAAGTCATACACCAGTTCCAAATTGCTTATAAGAAATAATCAGTGAAAGGGAACAGGAGTTAGGATCAACAAAATGAACAGTATTTTTATGCCAGACAATCTTATTTGATAGTAAACATAAAAGATTCTAATGCAGGCCTTACATCAGTCATCGATTTATACTCAGATGCCCCAAACTCTGTGTGGATCCCTAAGAGAGAGAAAAAAAGTAGACAAAGATGGACCCAGGTCAAGCCTTTCTCAGGATGCCTGTTGGCCCCTCAGCAAGTCACTCAGAACACACAACTCTGGGTACTTGGGCTTTTTTGTGTGAGAAGTAGAATGTTGTTTTCCTTCTAAAATTCACATTTGCTGTCCAAACACCCTGGGTTTGCTATAATTTTTGTTGTGGAATTCAGATGTCCAGCAGTAGTTTTCTGGTCCCAGGGCTTCTGCTGATGAGGGGAAGGATATGAAGCTGACTCCGATTTTAGGGCACAGTAGCACAATAATTACAAAGAAGAACCTACAATCTGCATGGCCAGAAATATACATTTCAATTATGGTTTCTAAGGGGAATTTATAGGACTTGTCTATAATATTTCTGGCTATATGTGGTCTCTATGCTACATTCTTTTTTTCTCGCATACATGATTTACATTCTTCTAGAAAATACCAGAACTGCCTAATATTTCATATTTGTTATTGGCAAGCTTTATTTTTAAGAGTACTGCTGTTTTAGTCTTTACATAAAATATTTTGGGGGAAAAATTTGACTTCTTAGCTGAAGCTGAACTCAGAGGGTGTAATTAACCCCAGGGGTTTTCCTGGAGCAACCTGCCGATTGCTGCTGAATTGCAAACCAACATTTACAAATAATTACAATATTGGTCTTGTGAAAATTACCCGCAATGATTTCAATCAGAGCAGCCATCTCAGAACAGAGTGCACATTGGGACCCTCTGAATAATTTCCTCTCCTAATGTGCTCAGTAAAGCAGTGAGCCTCCTGAATGCCAAGGCCTCATCTCTTTTGCATCAGCCCCTCCCTCGTCAGGCGTGGCTGGAGCCTTCTTTTTGCAGAGAGCTTAGGAAATAGTTTCTTTAACTCCATTTCTAATCTTTAAAAAAATTGGCCAACAGTAAACATTTGAAGATGAATAAGACAATCGATTGAACAAATATTACTCTTTCCACATCTTTGTGTGCTTATAGCAAGTTACATAACCACCAAGTTGATCAGAATCTTTATGATGTTAGTTGAATACGAGCTTTCTTTACAAATACTGTCGTAAGATATACTGTCGTAGGAAGGGTTATGTTTCTTTACAAGGGCCCCCACCATTTTTTGAAAGAATTGATCATAACTAAGTGTTTTCCTTTGGCAGACAAAACCATGTCTTATTCACCTTTGAAACTCCAGTGCCTAATAGACAACTTGGTATCTAGCAGGTACAATATACATGTGTTGAATAAATCATATTTAAAGCACTCTAAAAAGTACACCTAAATATTATGATATAAAATGCTCTGAATTCTATGAGAAAATAATACACGCATATCAGAGTAACATGGTCATCACGTAGATAAAATGATAGCAACTATAGTGTTCTAACTTTGGTAAATGTTAGAACTGTGTTCTAACTATAGGACAGTTTTTAGTGGTTTCTCTGTGATTCCAATTATATTTTTTCTGAAACATATCCAAAGATAGGAGAGTACCTGCATTAAGGCTGTTGGTTTCTGCAGGGTTTACTTGGAGAGATTTTGTTCATATGTCTTTGAAGAGACTTGGAGTCTCTTTTCAAAGATAGGATGTTTTTGAGAGAACTTTTTAAAATTTGTAAAAAAAATTGACAACTCTGTGCCTTAGAGATATGGAATTGTTGATGTTGGGGTGCATCTCCCTAAAATTGGCTGGACATCCTATATTTTGTGTTCTGTCTTTTACAGTGTCATGAAAATAGGTGATCTTGATAGTCCATCCTAGCTCAGTGCCTGTCATGGTGTCACAGTGATGTCAGAGGGAGAAGGAGCCCTAGAGAGCATCTGGCCCAGTGCCCATATTTTGCAAATGTCTAGACTGAGGCAGTGACCTGTCCAAGGCAACAGACCCCCGGCCTCTACTGTGGCATCCTTAGCATTCGGTTTTAAAGGATTTCACAACCATCAGAGAGAGCACCTCTTCTAAGTAGATACTCCCCCCAAAGCAGAGTTCAGTGTTTTGCAGTATTGATTAAGCCTTGGAAACCCACACTGCTCAAATCTGAGAGGAAATAATAAGGAAGGTGCAGCCAGAGCAGCCCCAGTGGATTAATATCTATGTCCCTTCCAAGGAGGCCTCGGGGGAAGGACTGGGTCCTTGTTGGGAGGGCCACTGATGCCACCTCCTTCCTTCCTTCTTAAGGCAAGTAGACCATTCATCACAGAGTCAGTGTTGCAATTCTGAATACAGAAAGTTATGATGATTAATATCCACCTCCATTCAGCCTGGAGTCACCACCCATCTCATTTTGCCTGAGACGAAGGGTCAGTCCGGGGTGTAGGACTTGTGCAGTGCTAACACCTGGAAAGTCCCAGGCTAACCAGGATGAGTAGGTCACTGCAATTCAGTCAGGGACTAGCGTTTGTAAAGTTCTTCCATCTGTTCAGCACTGGTGAATCTCCACACACCCACCCTCCTCTAAAATACACTCCATGTGGACTTCCTTTTTAGCACTGGATATTTATAATGATATAACACATAACTAAATTATTGTTTAAGACTTAGAACAGTCCAAAAGAATTTGAAAAGCGTACATGCCTTGACATTATTTAAACCAAATTTCTAAATATTTTCCACCGAATAGTTGGGGCCAATGGCTAGATAGTGGCATAAAAACAGGACAATTCTTTGCCTGAAGTCTGTTATATCTTTTTTGTTTGTTTGTTTATTGCAGCAACATTGAAGTCCGTTATATCTTTTTATTCTTGTTTTTCTTTTTCCTTAATTACTGATTGAAGAAAACAAATCACAAGCACAACTTGTCCTAAATACTTTATCCCTCAGACATTAAGATTATGCATCCTCCCGGCCAGCCCGGTGGCTTAGCGGTTAAGTGTGCGCACTCTACTTCGGTGGCCCGAGGGTTTGCAGGTTCGGATCCCGGGCACGCACCAACGCACCGCTTGTCAAGCCATGCTGTGGCTATGTCCTGTATAAAGTAGAGGAAGATGGGCATGGATGTTAGCCCAGGGCCAATCTTCCTCAGCAAAAAGAAGATTGGCATCGGATGTTAGCTCAGGGCTAATCTTCCTCACACACACACACACAAAAAACCAAGATTATGCATCCTCTGTGTTGCAGCTTTTATGTGTCCCCATTACTGCTACTTCTCAAACCTAAATGTGCGCACAGATCACCTTGGGATCTTATTACAGCAGAGTCTGCATTTCCAGCAAGCTCCCAGGTGATGTGCTGCTGCCGGCCCAGACTGAGAGTCAGAGCCCTCTGTTAGCTTTCTTTCTCTGGTCCCTCCTTGTCTCGGAGGGAGAAGCAAGACCCTCAGGCCATTGTGAGGTTCCCAAAGTAGCTGAATGAGGAGGGTGGGCTGGGCTGGCTTTCCCAGCAGCCTTCTCATAAATGGCCAGAGGTACACTTTTGGGTGATGAGATCCAAAACCTGGTGACCAGCCTTTCCTGGCTCTTCTGTCTGTGATCCTATCTTTTAGAGAACAAGCCGGGACGGCCCACCCAGACGGTAACTCTTTTATAGGCTCTCCAAATTTTCTGTCTGAGGTCATGAAATAGACCCAGAGATGGTTCCTCAAAGGATGTGCAGGATTCCCAAGTGTGTTAAGTCTTCATTTTAACTTTTTATATCAGATGTTCTCTCACCTCACAGCTTTTCGGCGTGTACTCATGAAATAGTTTCTCCTAAAGTAAATCAGCTCCTTACTCACTGAAGAACCCTGCCAGCCCTAGCAGTTGGTCACACACAAGCTCGCCTTCCTTCCCAACCTTGGGTTCACGGTATTGCAAGCTGAGCACTTACAGCAAATAAAGAGAAACTTAAACGGTTTTTCTGTTGAGAAATGCTAAAGACATCTTTTTCCTTTCTTTTCTCACAAAGAAAGAGACATTCACGATTGCTACTGTAATACAAGGTGCCAAGGGTTATCACTCAGGCAGCTGAGCCATAAATGCAGGATACTTAGGGGAAACTTGCCTATGGCAAACTGCTTTATTTAATCACTACTGGAAACTTGTTTGTTTTTCTTTTTAATGAACCTAGTAATAAAATTTAATTCATGAAAAAGCTGGTCACAAGAATGCAGCAGCATCCCACCCCCACTAGGGATCAGACCCCCAGGGTAAATCATATATCCAGGGAAGAAACTGAGCCGCTTTGAAAAATTGTTTTATGGGTGTAAGTTTTCTCCTTAAATGCTTACATTTTCCCGTATTTCCAAGCTGTTCCTCAAAATGTATCAGGTTCATAAAAGTTAAATCTGCAGTTGTAAGAACAGCTAAAAGGAAATGCAAGCACTCGTGAGAGACAGAAAAAAGCTTATTTCTAAAATAGTAAAAGGACCGTGCTTGTAGGGAGGGTGTTCCCCGGAACATTCCCAAAAGGCTCTCTTAGTTTGGGCTAAGTCTGAGGCATCTAACTGGAATTTTAAGTTGTATGTTTATTGCTTTTTAACTGTTGAATTGCTGAGAAAGCAAGAAAAGGGTCCAGCCCCATCCCGTCACCACATCCCATTCTGATGGATTGGATTTTCCTTTTGTGGGTGAAAAGGTCATGTTAATTAACTGACTGTTTCAGGGGAACCCAGTGCACCCAAGCTCGAAGGGCAGATGGGAGAGGATGGCAACTCCATTAAAGTGAACCTGATCAAGCAGGACGACGGTGGCTCCCCCATCAGACACTACCTGGTCAAGTACCGAGCGGTGAGTGGCCTCCTTCCCCGGTCCTCGCCCCTGGCCCAGCAGCCCCGACATCCACCTTGTTGGGGCAACACCAGGCAAGCCCAGGCGGGGCGGGGGCAGGACAAAGTCGCCCTGTGCCTTGCAGGTGGCTCATGGGCCCTGGTCAGGGTTTTAAATCCCAAAACTGACCCACAGCTGCCAGGCCATGTCCACCCCCAGGACCATTTTATTTTATTTTATTTATTTTTTTTTTTTTTAAAGATTTTTATTTATTTTATTTTTTCCCCCCAAAGCCCCAGTGGATAGTTGTGTGTCGTAGCTGCACATCCTTCTAGTTGCTGTATGTGGGACTCGGCCTCAGGATGAACGGAGAAGTGGTGCCTCGATGCGCACCCGGGATCCGAACCCGGGCCGCCAGCATCGCAGCGCGCGCACTTAACCACCAAGCCACAGGGCCGGCCCTCCCAGGACCATTTTAAAACCTCTAAAATGATCATGGTGGTGACAGACTCATACCATCATGGATTGTTCTGCTTCTTGAACTTTTCTACAGAGTTATTTTGCCATTACCCAGTACTTTTTGCAAATAATCTACTGATATCTAGTAATGACTACCTTTGATACAGTGTGTATTACGAGCAGGCGCTGTGATCACATGCATTTTCTCCCCACAAGAACCCTATGAAGTTGGTCTTATGATTATCCCCCACTTTACAGAGGAAGTCACTGGGGCTTATGCAGTTGACAAAGGCCTGATCTCCCATAGCTGGGGAGCAGAGTTTGAATCCAGGTCTGTCTGACTGAAGACACTGGGCTCTTAGCCCCTGCCCTAAGCTGCTCTAAGATCCTAAACCATGCTGGTTCCCTCAGCTGCTCCTCACCCCCACCTGAGCTGTTCTAATCCTATAGCGATGAACTTGGCCCTAAGCCTTTTCTTCCTGGTTTGCTCATCTAAGATTTCTGTCATTGCACCTTTCATCCTCAACCCCCAAATTGAGAATCACTCTCTCTTTTTTTGGTTTTAGAATGACACTTGGCCATTGCCAAACACAACCAACTGCTGAGAGATTTAGAGGCAGTGTCTGAGCGCTGGGAACAGCCACTTGCTAGGGTTTCTTATCAGTAGAAAATAGTGAACTGGAGAGCACTTCTCTTCCTTCAAATAGCCCCCAAGAAAGGCTTTTTCCAGGAAGTTGACTTACTCCCTCTCTGCCTTTTGTTCAGCCCCAGTGAAGTGCTAGATGAGCCCTTACCTGGTTAGGCTTATGGAAAGTCAGTACAGCAGGGTCCTCCCAGGCACAATTCTCAGCTGGTGGGCAGACCTGTCCTTCCACTCAGGCCTTTCCCACTTAAATGTAAAGCCAGGCATGAGCCTGACATGGGAGGAAGAACCTCAGTTGACTTCCCTCAGGCCCAGCCCTGAGGCATCACTGTGACAGCTTCCTTGCTGTGGAGTAGGATGCAAGGACTGGGCAGGTGGCCCTGCACAGCCCACGGGAAGCAGTCGATGTATAGGGTGGATGCCTCTGGCCGTTGTTATGCTGATGTGGCCCAGACAGACATGGGGTCCAATTCCAGCTTTACCACTTACCAGCATGGGACCTGAATAGGTCACCCAGTCTTCTAAAACCTCCATTTCTCCATCTATAAAATAGAAATGAAATAGTTTATCGAGTTGTTGTAAAGATTAGTTGTAATATATGCAAAGAACCTGAAATGTGCCTGACCCTTGGAAACCTCTATACATGGTAACTATAATGGTTACTGCTAAGATGCCAGCTAGGGCTGGAAATACCTCCCGTACAAGGCCACCTCAGAGCTCAGTTTTCCAGAAGAGCCTTTGTGGCTGTGCCAGGCAAGTCTGCGTTAAAAAGGCAGCTGGGGAAAGACTCTGAGATATGTTAGATTTCAACAACCTTAACCGTCCTGTCTCTTCCACTTCAAAAACTGAATGTTTGCTAGATATTGTTATTAATATATATTACATAACATAATATTGGCTTTATTAAATATTTGCTTTGTATTCTGGTTGTCTCTTTTGTAATGATATATGTCAAGGAAAGAAGCTTTCAGACAAAGAAGGGAAAAGATAGCTGAATTTCTTTGTTTTAAATTAAAATGGGGCCATGTGGTGACATACGCACAGGCTAACTCATAACATGGCCCAGTTTCCTGGTTAGACTCTAAGGAAACTAACGTTCCCCTCTAGCACTTCCCCAAAATAGTCATGGCCATGACTTGAGCCCTGTCACATTCCTAAAGGCATGTCTTTGGGCTGGTACAAATCATTTTGCCTGGGATCTTCCAGGCAAAATGGCCGGCTTTACTGTGACAGAACTCTTCCTCCAGCCTCAGCCATGGGCTAGACCACCATCCAGGTGACACTGTCAGCATGTTGTGCTCTTCTGAGGAGCAGCCCATCATTCAGTTAAGATTGGTCAAGCCTCTTGGGTGCCCAGCATACACCTCTCATATGGCTTGTGGAAAAGAGAGGTGGGCTGTACCATTGTGAAACCATCTGAAGATTTCTCAGGAAGCCTTCAAACCTCCTTCCACTACTGTTGTGTTAGGGAAGTGGTCACCTAATGATGGCTTTGTAAACTCCCACCCAGAACAGACACATTGGCGAATGTGTAGAATGTAACTGGAAAGAACATTTGATGAGAAAAAAGGGGCACCTGTAAGTCCAGCTTCATGCCTGAATTAGGCACTGGGCAGAGCTCTGCTAAGGCGAGTGTACCACTCCCTGTGGGTACTCTGAGCATCCAACGTTGCACCTGACAGCACAATTCACACCCGAGATGCCTTCAGCTCCAGTTGTAGAGACCAGGTTTCACTGCATGGAATAGAAAATCCAGTTCAGTTCAACAGATGTTTGCTGAGCTCCCTACTGTGAGAAGGAAAGTCAGAGCTTTGGGCCCAGATGCACTTGGCCCCAACCTTGACTACCTGTGTGGCTTTGGGAAGTCATCTAACCTCTCTCTCACTTCCCCGTCATCAGGTTTAGTAAGGGCCTGACAAAACCACTCACAGGCTTATTGCAGGGTACAAGGAGAAAATGTGTGTGCAGTGCCTGGTGCAGTGCCCGATGAATGGTAGCTGCTCAATAAATGATAGTTTTTATTTTTAATAAAAGTGGAATCCATGCAGTGTTCCTGTGTCGGGGAGGTGAGACACACACCTGAGTATGAGCAACAATCTGAAACAGGACAGGAAACATTGCTGTTTAGTACTCTTCTAGGACGTCCTTATGTTGTTATATGCCCCACATTCCAGAGTGTAGCTTGGGGGACAGAGGTGGTGCTTGAGCCCCTGTGTGCCCTCAAGGTGATGGGACAGGTCATTGAAGGGCTGGCCCCATGCCACCCTGGCATCTGCCACTGTTTGTATTTGCAAACATGCAAGGTTGACCTCCTGACCTGCATAATCCCTAGGATTTTTCAGGCTGGTAAGGAATAAAGACCATGTCCTATCACTGGTTTTTATTTTTTGTTATTTTGCACCAATAGTTATTGGTGCAAATAACAATAGTTACTGGTGCCTTAGTTATTGACTCCCTTAAGTTCTTACTGCTAGTTGGTCTTACCAGCATTTTCATCTAAAGCTTCCTGGTGTCTTGTGTCTTTCTTACCGGTTTCTCCTAGAAGCTGTCCTCCGAGTGGAAACCAGAGATCAGGCTTCCATCTGGCAGTGACCACGTCATGCTCAAGTCCCTGGAGTGGAACGCTGAGTATGAGGTCTACGTGGTGGCTGAGAACCAGCAGGGAAAGTCCAAGGCGGCTCATTTTGTGTTCAGGACCTCGGCCCAGCCCACAGCCATCCCAGGTATGAGTGCGCCTCTGCTTTCTGTGAGTTACCCGCTTTGAATTAATGCACAAGTGCTGCACCTCCTAATGTGCCTGAACAACCCCTGACAACTTGCTTGCTTACAGCCATCCTCATGATTGGTTGCCCATGCAAAGCTTAGTTTTGCTTTGTACCTATTTGTGCAGTGGGTTGAGATGTACTGGACCCCCAGGAAGGCTTGGCCAAGCATCCTGGGGAGAAGGTCCTGTGTCATTCGGCCTTGAAGGACTGATGCTAAGCCAGTCCATGGGACCCCTCAGATGGGAAAAGCCCCAGCTCCAGCCAAGCTTTGGAAGCTGGTTGAGTAAGGATCCTTTTTGAGACCTTATCTGCCATCTACCATTTCATACAAGGACCACATAACTGTTTTTAAGCGCTTTCTATCTGATGCTTGCTTACCTGCACAACCATGGTCCAAATCTCTTCTCTGTGGGGACCCCCAAGTGAAGGAAGAGATGGTGCCCACTTAGTTAAAAATCCTATCTGCCAAGAGCCTCTCAATTGAAACAAAGATTAAATTGAACCACTTGAAACAGAACAAGTGGAGAAAGTGGATGCTTGAAAACCCCATCCATGAAAGGCACTCCAGTCTGCTAGAGACCATGATGGGAGCAGTTCTCCTCGGAGATGTAGATCCATCTCTTGGGATCCAGAACCAACTCAAGTGTGGGAATAAAGTGAGAGTTCTGCTTTCTGGCCCAGCCACCTTGCTGCTCACGGCCAGTCTCCTCATTGACCAAATCCCTCAGAGCAGAAAGAGATCTTCAACATCACTCTCTGCTTTTCCAGACCAGCCAAATGCCAACCAGAGGCAGGAGAGGTGGGCATAGAACATATAGCAGCAGCCTGTTTGAGGGGGTCCCCTAAACTCTCTGCTGTGTTCAAATATGGAAGGAAGATATCCAGTCTCTGGTGGCCTTGGTCTGGCCCCCGTCATGCCTGTCCTGTCTGTAGTCCTTGCCCTGGCTCTCAGCTCAGTTGTCATGATTGCTCCTGCCAGCGGGAGAGAGGCCAGAAAGGACCAAGGCTGCCTACGACACAGGGCTCTGAAAGTGGGTCAGTGTGAAAGTGGGTTAGTCAAGCAAAAAAATGAGACCAGTGTGTGGTTCCCGACGGTTGGCTGTGTGTGAATGTGTGTCTGAGAGACGTGTGGGGGCCTCCAGGGAGTGTTCGCAGATGGGTTTTAAGCTATAGATCAGAAGCGTCGATTGGTCCTCCCCTCTGCATCATCAGGGAGCCTCTTAGCGCATGCTGGGATGGGCATGTCTCTGCAGACACTGCTTTAATGGTCAGCGATGAAGGCAAGGCGCCCGGGTTTGGCTGCAAGAAATGTTCTCATTACTGCTTAATAGAACCTCCAAAAAGTGGTGGCCCTGTCTGTTCTCTGCCCCTTCTTTCTCTGCATTCTTTGGCCAGTTTTTCCTTGAAATCGACAGTCTGGTGTGAGTGTCCAGATCTGCCGGCCTTTATGGGACTCTTGGGAGCTGGGAGAGTGAGAAGCTTGAGTAATCCCTTTGCAGTGAGACAGATTCCTGATGGCATGTGTTTCCTGGGATAAGACTCCATAGGCAGGTTGCTTGGATGTGCTGTGTTCACATGCTGGGTGCTGCCAGCAGCATCAGCTTCTGAGGTGGGAGAAGTTGGGGGCACTGTGTGTCAAATACAGAAATTCTGGGAAGACCTTATCCTCCAGAGTCATGCCCACTGGAGATGTCAGAGTCCTTCTTGTTAATCTCCCAGGTGCCCTGTTAGCCGGGAGAAGGTTGGGGGGTCACCTCGCCCACGAGGGCTCTGGGGCTCCATTGTACAGGTCTTAGAAGAAGGTCACTCTGTGCTTGGTGGGATTTCCTGGCCGTTGTGCTGGGACCAGAGAATAAAACCTCTGAATTACAGGATGTATGTTTGTGCTGGAATTCTGTGGTCAGTGGGGTGGTAGAAGGTGAGGGGCACAGAACTAGATTCTCCATAACAGCACTGCAGATGGGGGATTGTGCAGTCAGGAGAAGAGTCTGATTTATCGCTAAAAGGGAAGTCCCCATCCCTGTGCACAGTTTGCTACACGTAGTGCGGGGATCAAATGCATCTCTACCACTACGTGTAGACAACTCTCGAGGCTAGAAGGCTACGAGTAGCCTCGTTGACTGTGTCTACGAGGCCTCACCTTAGTCAAAAGTAACACTCTCCTAATCGAAGTCTTGTATCCCACTGTGGAGGCTTCTGTTCTCTCACTTTAATTTCATTTGCTCGCTGATCCCTAACCCCTCAATTCACCCTGCTGTGCTGCTTCTGGCCTTGCTGAGCTTCGGAACTGGCCTGATGGTGATAATACCGCAATGAACTCTTCTCTAACCTTTGTCAGTTTGATTTACTAAGTTGAATTAACCTTTGATTCTTGTGTTTTCTATATTTGACCTAATTTTTTTTTCTTTTTATCTATTTTTTTCTCTGTCTCTGTCTCTACCTTCTCTTTCCTTCTCCCCGCTCCCCTTCCTGTGTCTGTCGTCACACATATCACCTTGGACGTCACTGGGACATCCCCACTGCCACATTTGTTTTTAAACAACCACATTCTCTCTTGGGACCCATTGCTTGGCACCTGCAGCGACCTTGGGAGGCTCCTCCGCGTCCTACACCTTTGTCTCATTGCTTTTCTCTGCAGTGACTCTTCTCTTGCTCTGTTAGGAACCTGAACACAAAAATATTAAATTTGCTTAAAAGCCCAGCTCCTATGAGAATGATCAGTGCCCCCTTTGGAAGAAGCTGTCAGGACTGCCACAGCCGTGCCACCGAGCACTGTATGTGAAAGAGGAAGGCTTGGCCATTGGAAAAAGCTGGACCTCCAGACATATTCCCATTCACAGATACCTTCGTGCCACTCCGTAAGGAGTTTGCCCCCTTTTTCATGGCAGTGCAAAAATAACTGAGAGCTCTTTTCTTTAAACACTATTTAAAAAAAAAGCATTATGCTAGGTTTACAGAGAAGTTTCCACGTATCTGCTACTTGTGGCATTTTTTTGTTCTTATCTGAAAATGATGTAGCAGGAGAGGATTTCTGAGTACCTTCTAAAGCTTGCATCAGATTGTTAAAATCACCACGTGCCCCCATTCTAACCCCGTGCTCCTCCTCTGCACCACAATAAGTAGTTGGCATTGCTTACATTTAAGTGCCCGTGGGAAGGGAGCCAGACCACTGTGATTCACCTGAGCATTTTGCTGACATGATGGGCAAATTAAGTCAACATGTTGCCCCTACAGTGAAAGACATTGGATTTGTTGGGTATTTTCTGGGGCTGATCAAACGTTCTGGGAGGTGCTTTGGTCCTGGTGTTATAACTGACACCTGATGCTGGCTCTGTCAACAAGGCCCACCTGTGATGTGCCCAACACCTGGCAGCTTTATGAGGCGCATCTCCCAAACAGAGTGACACCTGCTGCGTGGCTGCAGATCAGCACAGAGCCTCATGTCTCGGGGGTTGTGGTCCAACAGGGACCCACGTTATCACATAAGCGCCCCTCCTTCAGGTTGGGAGCATCCACTGTGAGCCAGCTGTGCGTCCCAGACCATCCCCATACACGCTCAGAGTGGAACTGGGGGGACAGGCCACTCCCAGACTGCCCATCCTGGAATGTCTGTAAATTGAGACTCAATCAGCCTATCATTCTTCCCAATGGCCCCACCCCCCTATTGATCAGTGGCTTTAGTGACATTTTTAAAACTCTGGTGAAAGCCAGCTACTCCTCTCTGCTCTTGGGGAGTACACCTCCCCACCTGCCCAGGAGTGGAAGTGTGTTTGCTAAAGTCCTACATGGAGACTCAGGGGAGTCCTGCTCAGTAACATCAGTGTGTGTGCTTGGGGATGGACCTTCTACTGAATAAAAACTCCCTCCCTCCATTGTGGTCGCATATCATTCTACATATCTCATCTGTAAGCATCTCCACAGAAGTTTGATTTTTGTTCTTTTTGGTTTCTTCATTTTTTAATTCTGTTGTTATTGTTTAATGTTCAAAAGCTAGCCTTTCCCTTTGGAATCCAAATGATCCCGTGGTCTGCGGGGCAGAGCTGGGTTGGCACAGGCCCCTGTCCCCAGCACTCACAGTTAGAGGCTCCCGTGCAGACACTAGAAGGCCACACACTCCCCAACAGCTCAGGTTAGGTAGTGCCTCTCGCCCCAGCCCCATCTGCCTCCAGCCCCACGGCAGACCTCTCCCCCGGGTCCCTGACCTCCCTTCATGCCAGGGCAGCAGAAGAAGACATGGTTCTCAGGCACGAGAGTGATGAGGACAGGCACATGGTGCCTCTGGGCCTGGCATGAGAATCCCAGGTCAATTAGCGAGAGCTGTAGGGAGGCTAAGGGAGTTAGAGATTGGTCCTCATGCAGGTGACCCATCACTGTCCTCCTGGCTCCCAGCATGCTCTTTATGTCATCTTGGGCAGAAGTCGTATGTTCGCCCAGGAGGGCCCATCAAAGGGGTCTGCCCTACCCTGGTCCCAGGCCCACCCATAGGTTTGGGACAGTGTCAGTGTTTCTGAAGGAACTCTTTGGAGATCTGACCCAAAGTATGGGGAAGTTTGACATGGCCCTGTCCCCAGGGCCAGGCAGGCCTCAGCTGAAGCAACTTTGGGATCATTGCAGTGGGCCCATTCAGAGAGTGGACCCATGGTTTGTAATGGGATGCCCTTCAGGAGACAGGATTAGGGCACAACCACTCCCACTGGACAGAGTTCTCAGTGATAGCTGCAGCCCCCTACCCTACAGGAATCCCTGAGATAGTGGCCCTTAGAGACCCCTGCAAGAGTGAGCACTCACCACCCAGCTCAGCCGCCCCCGTGCTCTGTATCTGTGCTGCCCACGCTCCACATGCTACGGGGTTTCTCTGCTCATTTTTGGAATATTTATATGGCAGGTTTGGATCATGTTTTTCTACTAATAAGAATGCTAACATTGTTGTGTAGATAATCAGCGAGGCCTTTATGAAG